CATTTCTATGTGCACCACATTCCTCCGATTTGTATGTCACTAACTTTATTTGTACTTAAGGTTGGTCAACACTCAAATACTGTTGAACTTCGGTATCTCAAACACTGATATCTCGAATTCCATGGATATGTCGAAGTGATTTGGAAGTCCCAACTACTTATTCTTTATGAATTTTACCCTCAATATCTCGAATCCTTGGATATCTCGAAGTTTTTTCTCGGTCCCATCGAGTTCGAGATAACGAGGTTTGACTGTATTGTGTGCTGGATTATTTTTGCTCTGCGCCATGTTATTTTCATCCTAGCTATCACACTTGCAAACTATTTCACCCCATTTTAAATTTGCCCAAATGCAGTTATGTTACCATGATACAGGTAGATGTGCTTGCCAATAATTTACAGTTTTGAATTTGCCAAATTTCTTATTCACTCACTTACATGTATTACAACAAAAAGGGCAGAAGAAATGGAAATTAAATGGGGGCCAAAACTCCCTGCATGTATACAGTATGTGGATTAATTAATTTACATTGTTAAATTAACCCAGAAGCATATTATGGGTAAAAAGTAGCATGATTTCAAAAAATTTTAAATGTATATTTTTTATAATTTATTCTTTTCAAAGTAGGATTAATTGATTGATGCTTTTTGAATTTGAAGCCAGTTCTTTTGACCAGCATATGCAAATTTATAATGTTTAGAACTCTTGAATTAGGAAAGGTGAAATGGACCTTGCTATCAAGAGGGATATATTTATTAAAATTTGATAAATTACCTAATTGCTTCCCATATAATTTTTCATCTTAAACTTAAACCATCATTTATATTTTTATAATTTTGCCCTGGTAATTACAGAAATTTGTTTGAATTACACTTTTACCTCTATTATAATTCTGTTAGAAAATTCTGTTAGAAACATATTAGAATTTTATTGATAAGAAGGGGTCTTACCACCTTAATTGAGATATTTTGGTGAATTTAATTTTCTAGACTTCTTCAGAAAAAAATCAAGATTTAGTTAGTCTGGTATGCCTCATAACAATCAATTCTTCTCAATAAAAATTAATTTTTTTTGTGATAATGGCAAGTTTCTACCTTTGTTTGCAGAAAAATCAAGATTCAGTTAGTCTGATATGCCACATAATGATTAATTAACACCACAAGTCTGCAAATGCAACTAGTCAATTAGTAAAGCCAGGGGGTGTGGAATCTTCTAGTAGAAGTTTCCATTTCTGTACAAGTCATTTGCTTGGAATGTTTTGATTTTTGTTTGTATTCCTCATTCCGGAATGTTTTGATTATTGATCAATGAATTGAGTGAATCTGATTAACTGGAAATAATTAAGCTGCAAGGCCATTATGCCCCATTTATACTATAAACTACTCTGTTCTCATTTATCCAAGAAATGAATTGTCAAGGATATAAATATATGTTTTATTAGTCTTAGTTAACTTAGCTTTGATTCTAGTATTTTATAAAAGAGAATGGAGTTTTAGCTCACCTGAGGTGAGCTTTTCTAATCAAAATTTGTCAGTTGTCATTGGCAATGTCATCCTCGTCTTAAACTTTCATGTTTTTAACTTGTTCTTATTGAGAACCGTTGGGTGCATGGTTTCAACCAAACTTGCCACAAAGTGTGCTTGGGTGAAAGGGATTCATTGAGAAATTGTTCAAATGCAGGACCACACCCTCTTTTACAAGAGTTAATTAAGAATTATATATGTAGTGAAAATTAAATGGCATCTTGTAAAAATCTTCTCAAGAATCACTAAGCCAGAAATGATGAAACTATAAATACATAAGGTTGATTCAAATTTATTCAAATTATGACCCATTGGGGTAGGTTGGGGCCAGAGTGGGCAATCAAAGTTTACATAGGAATACATACAAATTAAATATCTTTAAATATCCTCTTCTTAACAATATAGCAAAGTCTTGATTAGTCATATTATTTATATGGAAGCATCCTCAGGTAGTGAAAATTGAAGTTTGTTCAAATCATAACCCCTTGGGGGAGGGGGGTAGTGGGGCCACAGTGGATGATCATTGATCAAAGGTTTGCATAGGAATATACATAAGGAAAATCTTTGAAAATTTTCTTCTCAGGAACAGCAAGATCAATGATTAGTCATATTGATATGGAAGCATCCTCAGGTAGTGTAGATTCAAGTTTGTTCAAATCAACACCCCGGGGTATTGGTGGGGCCACAAAGGGTAATCAAAGGTTTGCATAGGAATATATAGGAAAACTCTTTGAATATCTTTTTCTCAAGAACGGGAAAGTTGTGATTAGTTATATTTCAATGGAAGTATATGCTAAGGTTAAGTGTAGATTCATGTTTGTTCAGAACATGACTTAACCAGGGAAGGGTGGAGCTCCAGTGGGTGATCAGTGTTTTACACAGGGACACAGAGACAAAATCTTTTATTAAAAATCTTCTCAAAAACATATATAATAATATTTATGTGGAAGCATCTTCAGGTAGTGTAGATTCAAGTTTAATAAATTTACAAGCCCTTGAGTAGCCATAGTATGTGATCAAATTTTACATTAGGAATACTGGGGGGGGGGGGGGAGGTCTGCTGCTGAAGAACACAGGGCTAAAGTGACTCCTAAGGGCCTCTTGACTTGTTCACTTTTATTAGGTCAAGCATTTGTTTTGTAGACATTAAAAATTGAGATATGTGTTATTCAGTAAACTTTCCTTATCAAGTTTATAAACAGTGTCAATTATCATTTTTAGAGATGTAGACAGTAAGAAAATTATTGTTAAGATTTCCTGTTTGTTTGACATCTCGATGAAAGAAAAAGCTAAACTATGGTAAAAGTGAAATGACATTTGTTTATATTGTTCAAACGAATCATTTAAATAAAGTTAATAATGAAAATATATCGATGAGAATTTTTTTTTCAAACTAAAGTAAAAATAAGATATTGTTTTAAAATTTAAAACATTGTTTAATATTTACACTGCAATAATTGTGAATTTTAACAGGAATTCTGTGAATGTATTGCATAAGGAATACTAAAATGGGCCATTATTAAATTTCATCAGAAATCATCCAAACAGAGCAAAAAGCAAACTTCATGTGGGCTCGCTGTTTAGAAAAAAGTTTAGAAAAACTAAGTGGGACAAACAGGTGGACAGACTGACCCTAAAGCCCCCACTGGAATAATCATATCTGACTTAAGATCAGTATCACACATGATCATGATGATGATTGGTTAATATTATTAAAGTTGCGCACTCTGTTTTAAAGTGGAGTACATGTATTGCATGGCTGGCCAAAACATTTCATGTAGGCATTATGAAAGGCTGAATTCTTAATTCTTGTAAGTAAATATTTTTTTTTTGGTTGAAGCTGGAAGGCTTATTATTTTAGCATAATCAACAGTTGTTTTATTTAAGATAACAGTGACAAAATTATACACTGTTATTGCTTATTACAGAGAGAAAAATTTTCATTGCAAGGAAATTCCAACATTTTAGGTAATTTGGATACATATGAACACAATTTCTGCTAGGAGGTTTTGTTTTCTTATTTAAAAAAATTGAGCTGATAACAAAACTGAAATTTTTCAAAAAAAAAATCTTAAGAGGTGTTAAATTTCAAACAAAGATATTCCAAAACTATCAAGAAATGCCAGAATAAAAAGCAAAGAAGTGTAAGTTAAGATAGGTTTTGAAGTTGAAGGATTACTGGTGTGTGAGAAACATTCTGTAAGTGACATCACTCCAGATAGCCTGAAATCAAAGATTACTTTAGATCGGGCAGATCTAGGAGATTAACAGTTCCTCTGAACCAGTCTGTGTATCTCAGTCAGAATTCTGAGTTTGTGTTGGCAGATCTTCAGGAATATTCTGATAATATTAGCTCGACATCAGGGGGAAAATTGCCACAGGTCGAGAAGGTACATTAATGTTCTATATTGGGCGCAGTTTTATACTTAAAAAGAGCTCTTGTTTTAGAAAGGATCGTGATCTCTAATAATTCTTTTTCAAAACATCAATCTCAATCCTGTAGACTTCAGTTTAAATTAAAAGGGGAACAACTCTGTAAGGAACTTTTTTGGGTTTATTATTACTATGTTTCATTATAAAAGTTACACTATAAACTGATGTTATGAAAGTCATAAACCTTTTAGATCCATAATAATTATATACACTATGCAACATAAGTGCATGATGTTTTTGTCAATGTTAGCAGTGAAATAGTCCATTGTCAGAGGCCTGGGTACATGTACTTTTATAATTGATACAACAAAGAACCTTGACAAAAGATTATGAGATAAAAAATTTTTTTAAAAAAAGGAAAAGATAAATCATAATTGTAACAATATGATAATAACGTGTTTTGTTTAATATCAGACATTTTCATTCAATCAAAGTCAAGGTTTAATTAAATCTTCGATTTTGGTGTTCATATCTGAATGCAGATTGAAAAATGAAAATGCTGAATATTGAAAGCTGAGATACATTATAAAAATGACATGTACAAAGTAAAATTTTTTTTTTCTTCATATTTCTTTGAAGATAAAATATTCTAGTGCAATTGTTTGCATTGAACTACTTTTTGATTAAGAATTGAAAGAGTTACTTCCCTTGTTTATACTGACTCATCAGATAAATTCTGAAAATCTTTGAATGCAGTATTTATTTACATTATGCAGCATTTGATTGATAAAGGATGTAAAATTTATTAGACAGTATACTAAAGAATTGTCAAATCTCTTTGAATATCTACCATGTTTAAAATTATCTTTTTGAATGATATTAAAAAAATTAGATTTCTTTGAAGAGATTTTCCCCAGTGTTTTGACAAGACTAAACAAAATTTATTTTCTGCAATTTCTTATCTGGATTATGTTTTCTTTTGACAGTTTTTCCATCCAATCCCCTTTCAGTCTAAACAAGAAATATCACGAGAAGTTATACCTCGGTATGTACAGCTTCTTTACGACAGTAAATCTATAACTTGACACTTATGCTCCATTTCAGAGTTTTCAAATTAGACATTGAGGGCTTGTAGGAAAAGGATGTGACTGCCTAGGACCCACGTATGACATTCCTTATAAGGAGTAGAAGAAAATAGGAAGCAGGGATGTGAAACATATTCCATTATTCTGAATGTGAACAACAGAGATTTATTTTGTGTTTGTGTGACCTTGAACTCTGACATTAATAATCATGTCACCTTGTGAACTTTTGACATTTTTACTAATTGGCAGTATTTGTCTTGCATCATTAGTGGATGGTCAAAAGAAGAACAAACGTAAGTACTTAGCAGTGATTTGTCAACTAGAAAGCAAACCTGTTACATCTGCAGTCACTGCTAAAAGCATGACTTCCTGCAAATTAAAATCTTTAATTACATGACTATGCTGTACAGGCATGATTACTTTGACAGTACCAAGGATTGTGTTGAAATAATTTATGTTTAGGCATCCAGTTGAACTTTTGAAAACAAAGAATGAATTGTTGGAAAAGATATTTAATACATTTGATTTTGATCCCTATACATTTTTGAACCAAAGAAAACATTTATGAAGTTTGATCAATTGTCAAGGTCCTTTTCGTAAGTGTGAGCACATTGTTTCAGCTTTGAAAACTGGTGACATTCATATAATTAAATTACCATTATTTTTTGTTGTCAATGATTATAATAGAAATAATATATGTTATGATATGTGTAAGTTTGAAATGGATAGTCCACAATTATTTTTTTTTTTTGGCTTTGAAATTAAATTGGGTCTATTATTATAACAGTGCATGTAAAATCAGTTTCATCATAAAATTCATCAGTAATATAATAAAGTATTCTATCATTACTTTATCTAAGATCCTATATTCATCATTAACATTCATTATTTGATAAGAACAAATGATTATTAAAATAAGGATTAGTTCTAGTAAAGAAATTTTTTGACTCATGAATTCAATTTCATATATCATCTTTACCTTACATTTAACAGCCCCAAGATGGAAACCCAAGTCCAGACCATTCAATGGGGATAACATCATTGCCAAATCATCAGGGAGTAATATCAAAATTAGTTGTCCAGCTTACGGGTACCCTAAGCCAAAAATAACATGGTACAAAGAGGAGAACCTGTTTGATGCTAGCCAGAGACCAAAGGTATTGAAGTATTAATAATATTGATGTTGACCTACTTAAGTGATACCTGGGAATGGTAAAATTGCTATATACAGGGTTGTTTTCACCCTTAATCACATGCAAACACTTTTACCTCATTTTAAATTCACTCATACACACTTTGTAAAAAAGAGAGGTACATATACAACTCTGTGAACGTTGAATTACCCTGGGTAGTTAATGACAACAAGGGCATGGCGGCTGGCCCGGGCTAAAATAAAATGGGCAAAAATTTCTCCCATATAGAATGTGTTTAGTGAATTTGAGCCTTAACAATTGAGCTGCCTTAAACTTTAAAAAAAAAGAGTAAAGTTTGAACTTTCATACATCCTGTATATTAGCGGAAGCCAGATATTCCAGAAGTATTTTCATGTCGTAATGAGCGGCTTGATGGAAATAGGGGTCCATTTTTATGGTAAAAATGTACTGTAAAGTGATTTTTTTCTCATGTAAATTCATAGGGCCAAGGTTTAGATTAAATCAGAGTCTGTCACATTTTTCTTCGGTTATGATACAAAGTTTACTAACTGGAATTCACATATAAGGAATAACAAACCCATACATGAACATATGCACAACTCTTCATTACTCTGTAAGTATACTTACGTCATAAGTACCTAAACAGCTTTATAAGGAGCTTCCTGATAGGTCTAAAATATCCCCTCTATAGATAAGGGGACCTCTCTTAAATTGCAGTAGGTATTGTCAATCCTCAAGATTCAGAAAAAGATGCTTCAAACAACTCTTCTTAAAATGTAATCAAGTGTGCCCTAGAAATGAAATTGTAAGGTGATGATCTTGAGTGATGTGTTGCAATTCTAGTTTCAAACAAAATTATATAAGGTTTATAGTGAGCTGAAAATTTGTGGAAAATGCAAAATTATTGCTGACATGGTTATCTGAATATGCTGAAGGCATAAATTCACATTTTGAGAGGTTATATGTATATAATGAAAGAGAAATCTGTAACATGCATGTTTCAACATCGTCCATCAGCATCTTGAACTAGTAACAGTTATGACAAACACTGTGCTGTGTAATTCAGAATATTTGATGACAAATACCAAACTGTTTAACTCACTTTGTAAACTGCATTGCATCTTGCAAGAGGGGTGTTCAGCTGAAAATTCCTGGAGTCTTTAATATTACCACCCTTCTAATTTCCTCAGCTTTTTTCCTCTTGTGAAATAAACATCTCATGACTCAGTAATTCCTTTTATTTATATTGCCCAACAGATCCAAGACTTAGAGTCTTTGAAGGCTAAGATGAGAGAGCTCATCTCTTGGCATTGATTAAATGACTGCTGGGGAGGTGTTAGTGTTTTGCATTCAAAATGTTCATTGTTCTTAAGCATTGCTAAGTTATCACCTGGACTAGTAGTGCAAGTGGAAGATATTAGACATATGCACTGCACAGTTTAAAAGATTGGTTTTAAAAATGAAGTTTTATGTGGGTATATTGATGAAATGTTACATTAAACTCCATATGATGAATTCTGAGTGCACCAGCAACATATAATGCTCAAAAATTGATCTACATAAGATTACGTTAAATTATAATTTTCATATATGCACACACCATGTGCAGTATGAGGTTATGTAACAGTTCATTTTCATACAACTTCTAGAACAAATTTCTTTGATCATGTTGATAAGATTTGCGGTGCAATCTTCATGCTATTAAAGTGTTTGAAGACCATTTCCTCAAGCTTGAGTAAGTGAACTAAGAATATTTAAGTTTTCATTAAGCACATTTTTCATTGTATTACTCATTGTAAAATTAAATAAGAAAAAATTGAAATAATTTAGAAAGATTTCATTTTTGGTTTCGTGTATGCATGGTTCTATTCAGTAATTTCAGTTGTTTGGTATTTAGTAAGGTTCTCTTGCCAACTTGGATATTTTACTTGACAGGGAGATCCTTAGTTTACAATTTTATAAAAATAAAGATTCCTTGGTTTGTTGATTTATTTTTTACTTGCATTATTACATAAAATGACATGCAGTAGCATATAAATTTTTAATCTTAGCATTGTGTTTTCATTTTTTTTAATATCTGTTATACACTGTACTGTATAGATTACTGTGCTTACTGTTTTGTTCAATATCATTGCAGACAAAGGCCAGACACTTTGCCCTGAGTCTTAATGATGTACAGACATCAGACAGTGGGAAGTACAAATGTGTGGTCCAAAATTCCGAGGGCAGCATAGAATTCACCTTCATTGTCGATGTTATACGTAAGTTAATACATGTATTTGTATAAGGTACTAATTTAAAATTTTCCAGTGCAGACAACAATATACAGTTGTTGACTGGGGTAGACGGAAACAGTCCATCTGTTGGACCGAAGTGCAGGCTGTTGCCCAAGGCCGTAGGCCACAGGCAACAGCTCTCACTCTGGTCCAACAGATTGACTGTTTCCCGAGATTCCTGTCAACAACTGTTTTGATATACTCCTACTCAATCGAATTCATAAATTTAACAGAAAATAAAACTGTTTTGGGAGAGAGAGAGACTTTACGTGTATTTTATTAATAAACATTTTTCATATTTTTACTGTCCCTACTTTCAAGTATCGCCTGAATTTCATCCTCGTTCGCCGCAGCAAAACAAAGATCAGCCATTTCTGTTTATCTTAACAACAGGTTTAAACTACTCTGCACTCCATGGCTGATTACATTTAACTCACCGTTACCCGAATCAGCCAGAGTTTGCCGAATGAGGAAAAGATAACTCAATTTAGCGCCATTTGACATCAGCAGGCAACAGTCTTTTTTAACAGTCTATTTTAACAGTTCCTGGACCGACAGTTAGGGAAAACAGTTGAACTGTTGGACTGTTTTACAGTAAGAAATTATAAAGGGACTGTTTAGTAGGGGTATAACAAATCAAAATATTATCATGAAAAAGACATTGAAATATTAGAGAAATAATTCCAGCATTGGAGGTATTATTGGAGAATATATCCCGATAGATCTAGAGAGGGAAATAAAAACCAGGCCTGAAGGCTCACCTGCCACTTTTCACGGTGGTACCTTACCCACTCACTAAAAAAGTTTATGTACCACTTGAAACTGGGTTGAAAACAATTGTTCAGGTAGATTTAGTTTGTTCGTTAGTGTTTTCAATTTTTTTTTACTGCGTAACTCTGCTTTCACATGTTTTGCAACAGTGAAGCACCAAACACTGTCCTTGACCTTACTAACTCTTGACATAATCTGTTTCCTCGCAGACATTCGTCGTCCAGTGCTGTATATCTACCACTCAAAAATTGTCTGCATCATATAAAAATGCATGTTTCACTTTTGACTTATTTCTTTCTTCCTCTAGCATTTTAGAGTTTGTTTTGTAGGTTTTTTTTAGCTCACCTGAGCTGAAAGCTCAAGTGAGCTTTTCTGATCATCCGTTGTCCGTCGTCCATCCGTCTGTCCGTCCATCCGTCTGTAAACTTTTCACATTTTCAACTTCTTCTCAAGAACCATTGGTACAAAGTATTCTTGGGTGAAGGGACATTTAAATTGTTAACATAAAGGGCCAAGTCCCTTTATAAGGGGAGATAATCAAGAAAAGACAAAAATAGGGTGGGGTCATTAAAAAATCTTCTTCTCAAGAACCACTGGGCCAAAAAAACTAAAACTTATGTGGATGCATCCTGGGATAGTGTAGATTCTAAATTGTTCAAATCAGGACCCCCAGGATAGGGCGGGACCACAATAGGGAATCCAAGTTTTACTTTGAAATATATAAGAAAAATCTTTAAAAATCTTCTTCTCAAGAACCACTGGACCAGAAAAGCTGAAACTTATGTGGAAGCATCCTGGGGTAGAGTAGATTCTAAATTGTTCAAATCAGGACCCCCGGGGTAGGGCGGGGCCACAATAGGGAATCCAAGTTTTACATTGAAATATATAGGAAAAGTCTTTAAAAATCTTCTTCTCAGGAATCACTGGACCAGAAAAGCTGAAACTTATGTGGAAGCATCCTGGGGTAGTGTAGATTCTAAATTGTTCAAATCATGACCCCCAGGTTAGGGCAGGGCCACAATAGGTATTACAAGGGGGGAAATCTGGTAAAGAACAGCATGGCCAAAGTTACTCAGGTGAACGATGTGGCCCATGGGCCTCTTGTTTTATCTTGACTTGTGTTATGTGACATCCTGCAACGTCAACTATTATACCTTTTTAATGACGATTATAGTGATTTGATTGGAGACATTAATTAGTGTATTGTTTGCAAATGACTAAATTTTGATGTGCTCCATGACCCCATTTTTGCAGTTTTAAATTCAAAAACTATTTTGAAGTATATCATGATATGCCCAGTATTTGAATTCTTAAATGCAAATTATTTAGATTTATTGTTAAAATAGGTGTACCAAATTTGTAGGTTAATATCCTCCTTCAGTGTACCTTTTCATTCCTTAAAAGCAATGGGCCTTGTCCCCTTAGGGGCCTCCGTCAGCTCCTTTACTTTCAGGGAATGGACCTATTCTTAATCTCTTGAGAAACAAGGCAAAAAAAAAATACTGTGGTATTTATCTAATTTTTAATAGCTCAGTACTAGAGCAAAACACACTCATAGTGAAGTGCCTGGGACGAACAATTTTGCTTCTTTATCAACGTAATTGGTTATGTCAGTTAAGTTCACAATACTTTTTAAAACCACAGGGATTGAAAATCACTTCACTATAAGCATTAATTCTTTATATGCGTGTTCGCTATAAGCATGTTTTACTGTATATTGATTTAACATTCAGGAACCTCGTGGCCACTAGAGTTGGAGGAGCCACGAAATGCCACAGTAATGGAGGGAGAGAGGGTGGTGTTCCGGTGCCGTGCCTTGAATGACCCAGATGCCACCACTCAGTGGATAAAGCGGGACACTGAAGTTGGTGATTCAGGTGGATCCAATAAAGATGTATGTGTCTACTAAACCATTCCAACCTCACAATGCAGTGAAATGAAAATAATTATGATAACACACAGAATTTTTACTGGTGTGTGACATATAAATTGCAGATCATGGCCATGAGTATTATAGAAAATATTAATCTTGGTACTTGTTGAACATTCATTAGCTTTTATATACATTTATGCTTGTTTAGAGCTGTCCTGTACAAGATCTTTTATGATTATGATCAGTCCTGTGACTGTCAAAGTTGACTTTACCTTCTATTGGTTATTCACTGCTTGACTTTACTGTGTTTTAAATATTTTCTTAGTGGCTCCGCTCAGCAAGCACCTGATCAGTGTCTCTGTCTGTCCAAAATCACTTTTCAGGAATATATTTTCTCTCTCCTCGCCCAATCAGGCTGAAACATGAATCAGAGAGTGTCTGTGGATAAAGGGTGTCCAGTGACCTTGAATTAATTTGAAGATCAAAGGTCAGGGTTAAAAAAAAAAATCAAACTTTACCTATAGAGTGCTCAAGAGTAAAGTGTGTGCAGTGACTTTGAACAAATTCCTGGATTAAAGGTCAAAGTAAAAAAATATCATCTCAAGCCAAGGTCCGGAGTCCGCATACGTAGCTCTCTCCTACCCGTGGCTGCTTGATCACAAAAATTGTCGTAATCTTGAATATTTATGCCTCTATGTTGTGACATCATGTTCAGCCAATGACAATATTTGTTTCCATCGCAATTGAAATCAACAACTGACATTAGCAGTATACAAGAAATGTTTTGTATTAACTGTGATTGGGTATTGAAAGGTCGCATCAAAGTTCATCATCCGACTATGCTTTACTTGCATTGGTCAATATTTAAATGAGCTGCAAAATATTCTCTTCTCATTCAACCATGGCCAGATGGGAGTGGATCTTACATTTTGGCCGTGGTTTGCGACAATGTCTAAAATCCTTGTCTGGAGAATGTTATGTTTTCTCTTTCTTTGGCTCAATCTAGATCTTGCTTCACCCAACTAGTTTATGGGTAAAGGTGTACAGTGGCTGCAACGTTATTGTTGACAAACCAATCGTGTAGAATCGTTCGTGTAACGTGCGTGATCGTTCGTGTAACGTGCGAGATCGTGCGTGTATCAGACTCAATCGTTTGCGGTTTTAATCGTGCGTGATCGTGCGTTAAGAAACGTGTAAATTTCGTTTTGTAAGTTTTTATCGGAATGTTATTTGTTATACAAGCATTTCGCTTGTTTGTTTTTTTTAATCCAAATAAAACAAATGAAGCGCGATTTACATAATTAAAAGCAGAATGAGCTAATTATCGCTTGGAACTAAGCAATATATTAGGTCGTACAATATTGTGTTCTCGTCAAATAGCTTGATTTTTTGTGATAAACCTTACTTAGATGTGTAAGGATTTTTTCTCTGATGTTAATTATGTTTACTGCTAATTATGGTCAAGATATTTTTAAAATCAAAAGATCAAAAATAGATAGTTTTACAAATAAATAAATAAACAATTCTCAATGCTTACATAAATATTTAATTGGCAAATGTACATGTACACGACATGATTGTCGGGGTTTCGTTTATCAGTGTTTATCTTTGGAGCTTACTTTAATTATTTTTTTAATTTCTGCAAATAAATGATTTGTAAAATAATTGTTATTTTAGAGATTCAGAAATGGAAACATGGACATAACTTATAATTCATTTTCATGCCATTTTTATGCCCCGCCATGAATATGGCCGGGGCATATAGTGTTTGTCATGTCCGTCTTCCGTCCTTCCGTCCTTCTGTCCTTCCGTCCTTCCGTCTGTCCTTCCGTCACACTTTGCGTTTAGCTCTGTTCAAAGCTCAGTTTCAAAGATACCATTCAAGATATTTTTATCAAACTTCATATGCTGATAGATATTGATGAGAGCTATGCAACTGCATCAACATTTTTTGACCTTGACCTTTCCTTTGACCTTGACCTCACTTTTCTTAAATTAGTGTTTAGCTCAGTTTTAAAGATACCATTCAAGGTAGTGTAATCAAACTTCATATGTTGATGCATACTGATGTAAGCTATTCAACTGCATCAACATTTTTTGACCTTGACGTTTCTTTTGACCTTGACCTCACTTTTCTTAAATTAGTGTTTAGCTCAGTTTTAAAGATACCATTCAAGATAATGTAATCAAACTTCATTTGTTGATACATACTGATGTAAGCTATTCAACTGCATCAACGTTTTTTGACCTTGACCTTTCTTTTGACCTTGACCTCACTTTTTAGGTCACCTGAGTCACTCAGGTGACCTATTGCTATCCGTTTTTGTCCGTCGGCGTGCGACGTGCGTCGTGCGATGTGCGTTAACATTTGAACATGTTTAGCTTCTTCTCTGAAACCGCTCAACCAATTTCAACTAAATTTGGCATATAGCATCTATGGGTGAAGGGGAACAAAAATTGTGAATTTCATGGTCCCTGCCCCTCTGGGGCCTGAGGGGTGGGGCTAAAACCACCAAAATTAATGCAATCTTTAAAAATCTTCTTCTTTACTCCTGGACATCAAGCAGTCAAACTGTTGGCATCATTGTAATAAGCATTGAGTCCTCTACCAAAATTGTGAAATTCATGGCCCCAGGGTCAGGGGTTCTGGTGCTAGGGCGGGGCTATATAGATCACATAGTGAAAGTGCATTATTTCTTTGAAAATCTTCTTCTCTGCTCCTGGGTATTAAATAAACTAACTAAGTATATAGTTATGATGAGTAAGAGTGACTCTTCCAAAATTGTGAAATTCATGGCCCCAGGGGCAGGGGTTCTGGTGTTAGGGCGGGGCTCTATTGATTATATAGTGAAAATGCATTAGTTCTTTGGAAATCTTCTTCTCTGCTCCTGGGTATTAAATAAACTAACTAAGTATATAGTAATGATGAGTAAGAGTACCTCTTTCAAAATTGTGAAATTCATGGCCCCAGGGGCAGGGGTTCTGGTGTTAGGGTGGGGCTCTATTGATTATATAGTGAAAATGCATTAATTCATTGAAAATCTTCTTCTCTGCTCCTGGATATTAAATAAACTAACTAATTACATAGTTAGGATTAGCAAGAGTGCCTCTTTCAAAATTGTGAATTTCATGGCCCGTGGGTCAGGGGTTCTGGTGTTAGGGCGGGACTCTATTGATCATATAGTGAAAATGCATTAATCCTTTGAAAATCTTCTTCTCTGCTCCTGGGTATTAAATTCAGTAACTAAGTACATAGTTATGATGAGCAAGGATGCCTCTTCCAAAATTGTGAAATTCATGGCCCCGGGGACAGGAGTTCTGGTGTTAGGGCGGGGCTATATAGATCCTATAGTGAAGGTGAATTATTTCTTTGAAAATCTTCTTCTCTGCCCCTGGGTATTGCTTAAACAGACTAAAGTACATTGTTATGATACACAAGGATGCCTCTTCCAAAATTGTGAATTTTATGACCCCAGGTTTAAAGGGTTCTGGTGGGGGGGGGGGGGGGGGGGGGGGGGGGCTTCTATTGATTATAAAGTGAAAAAGCAAAATTTCTTTGAAAATATTCTTTTCTTCTTCTGGTTAAAAAAGCAAAGAAGCTAAGTGTATAGTTATGATGAGCAAGTGTGCTTCTTCCAGAGTAGTGAATTTCATGACCCCTGGGTCAGATGTGCTGGTGTGAGGGTGGAGCTCTTGATAATTTAGTGAAAATGCATTAATTCTATTAAATAATCCTGTTTGCTCCTTAGTGTTAAGCAGATAAACAAAGTGATGATGAGCAAACATATGGTCCCAGGGTCAGAAGCTCTGGTGTTTTGGGGGTGGGGGATTGGGGGGGGGGGGGGCTCTATTGATAATATAGTGGAATCTGTAGTAAAAATGCATTATTTATTTAAAAATCTTCTCCGCACCTGGGCATATCTGAGGCAAACAGAGTAAAAGTTTTTATAAGGAAGGGAATTTTTACCAGATTTTTGAACATCTGGACCATTTGGTCAAGTGTTCTGGTCCTGGCCAGGGCTTTATTAGTTTGTATTCTACTGAGAGGAGTTATTCCCCTTTGCCATTTACTTTTGATAATTTATCACTGTAAATAATGTACTTGAAAGGTAAATAGAACAAGAGAATTATGCAAAAACTTTTATTGTATTAATACAAAAAGTACTTTCATAGTTTTAATGATCAGATAGACTTGTAAGTAGTAGATAAATAAAAATGAGACAAAAATAACTTGTCTTATTAAATATTCATCAAAGACCAAGAGATGCCAATGTAAGAGATTTCAACAAAGGATTAAAATAGTACAGAAGCATTGATAATTTGTTAATATACTGTATAGTGATAGTGATAAATGGGGAATAGATTAGAACCTAATTTATGAACTGTTAATGAATATTAAGACCAATTATTTTGTTGATCATGATCACCCTATTTTTCTTGCTTTTGGGCAACAAAGCTTCACCTTTCAGTTCATTTTATACTCTATGCATCTTTGAAATTGTTGTATCATACTCAGGTGACCGTTAAGGCCCTTGGGCCTCTTGTCTTAAATTAGTGTTTAGCCCAGTTTTAATGAAAGCATTCAAGATATTTTTAACAAACTTCATATGCTGATACATAATGATGAGAGCTATTCAACTGCATCAATATTTTTGACCTTGACCTTTCCTTTGACCTTGACCTCACTTTTCTGAAATAAGTTTTAGCTCAGTTTTAAAGATACCATTCAAGATAGTGTTATCAAACTTCATATGCTGATACATACTGATGAGAGCTATTCAACTGCAACAACATTTTTTGACTTTGACCTTTCCTTTGACCTTGACCTCACTTTTCTTAAATCAGTGTCAAACCTCATATGCTGATACATACTGATGAGAACTATTCAACTGCATCAATATTTTTTGACCTTGACCTTTCTTTTGACCTTGACCTCACTTTTCTTAAATTAGTGTTTAGCTCAGTTTTAAAGAAACCATTCACAATATTTTTATCAAACTTCATATGCTAATACATACTGATGTAACCTTTTCAACTGCATCAACATTTTTTTACCTTGACCTTTCCTTTGAACTTGACCTCACTTTTCTTAAATTAGTGTCAAACTTCATATGCTGATACATACTGATGTAAGCTATTCAACTGCATCAATATTTTTTCACCTAGACCTTTCCTTTGACCTTGACCTCACTTTTCTCAATTTGTGTTAAAATCTTGCATTACTAATATACCCTTGGCGGGGCATTCATGTCCTATGGACATATTTCTAGTTTTTTTCAAACTTATCCCTTTCCGCATAGTATGAAATCCAATTCAATCAAAACTCACGGTCCATCTTCATGTACATCTTCTGATAGAAGGGGAAAAATCAGTTTTCTCAAGTCGGAGAATTACGTAAATAATTATTTGTAATCTAAAATAATTAATAAGTCTTACATGTATTTAGTTCCAGAAAAATCCATTTCTTTTTTTTTTTCTTTTTTTCATTTTTCAAGATATCAATAATTATTTGAAATCTAAAATAAGTATAAAGCCTTCTTTCGTTTTGAAAATATCCATTCCTAAAGAATTTGAACTATTTTGCGTGAAGAATCGTGCGTTTGCGTTAGCAATCGTGTAAGATCGTGTAACGTGTAGAATCGTGTGCGTGAAGGATCGTTCGTGCAACAGATTTTATCGTGCGTTAATCGTGCGGAATCGTTCGTGTAACGTGATCGTTTGTGTAAGTTGTCAACAATAACGTTGCAGCCACTGTAAGTCTGAGGTCAAGGTCAAAGCATAACTCTGTTTAAAATCCTTATTTTGAGCATATTTTCTCTCCCCTTTGTCCAATTGTCCAATCTGGATCATACTCCAACCAAAGAGTTCCATCTAAAAAATTGTTGAGGGGGTGGGTGTGGGGGGGGGGGGGGGGGGTGAAACAACCAACCAACCAACCTACATGTAATGTCCTAAGGGTGCAACAATAAACCGTTTGACGGTATATCGCGGTATATTTTTCCACGGTTCAATTCACGATATGCTAAACTGATATCGCGGTTCGGTTCAATCGGTCCAGAATTATCCATTTTGTCCGTTTTATCTCTTTCTTTACTATTTCAAAATGGCTTCCGCGCAAAACGTGAGGTCGCCAATAACGCATTTACGGCAGTTAAACTTATCTCCAGCATCGTACAGACCTCATATTTAACACAGAGAAGGACTTAATGTGATTATAGGTTATGGATGTTAAGACAAATGATAAACCCTTTAGATCTTAACGTATTCTTTGGTAATACTATACATGATATTCCATCACGGGTGTATTTCGATGAAAATTCGCTGTTTTGTTGACTAAAACATATTAACACGAGAAATATGACAACTGGTTTTTTACGTAAATAAAAGGAATAAAAGAATGAATGTCTTCCTTTTTCATTCCATTTTAAAAGAGAGGTTATTAGGAAAGGTCCCCGTAGTTCCCTGTAAATGTTCATCATTGGTTTAGAATGTTGTCACAACTCAAAAGATCTACCTAACAATCCAATTTAAGTTAACAAAATGTTATTTTAAGGTACTCCGATCCTCAGGTTCTGAAAATCAGGCATTGAGTAATTGAAAATGCTCACAAAAACGTCTCTGAATTCTCAAAGTAACGTGTTTTTACCCACGATAATTCTTCAAATTTAATCTTTAAAGTTTATCATATTATATAGGGAAAATTAGTAAATCTCAAATAAATTTTCACGAAATGCGAATAAAAACACCTACTATGCATTTTCCAATTTAAATTTGATCAACAAACACATTTTAGAAATAAAAATCATAGGTATCCAGGCTTTTGAAGAAATTGCACAATGTTCATACATATAAGGTACTTTAATTTCTTCTATTTACTTTGATCATTTTACAATGCATAGTGTATTAAGATTTTCCTATCATTGCAAAACACCATAAATCACTTCTAATTTCATATCATGTAAATAAACATTGGTATCTATGGTTAGACTAAAATGAACCTCAATTTCTTTAAGTATGTAATTTTAAAATACTTTTATGGGGTAAAAATTTCGACATTTTATAAGACCTTTCTGAGAACTTCGAAGAACCTTGAAGCACATTGAGAGGTATAAAATGAAAATTGTTGCATGAAAAGATTTGATTTTCAAGCTTCATTTTGAGACTTTTTGAATTAAATTATAAATTGAAGAGTTATCCTTCCTGGCTGAGGATCAGAGTACCTTAATTATTATTAAAAAATATGAACATTTTATATATCCCTGTCAAGTTTTAAAAAGATATGACGACAAACTTGAAAGACTTTTTAACCTTGTCATGTATTGTGATACATATCGTATCGTGAACTGAATACCGTGACACGTATCGTATGGTGAGGTTAGTGTATCGTTGCACCCCTATAATGTCCCTTACTAAAAGTGGGGCCCTTTGAGATGGACACCATCTCATTGTCAATGATATCTATATTTCCTATATATTGTACATGTATCCTATTTTTGGGGTTCAATTTTGCTGTAATTGTTATGTGTGCTTTCAGTTTCTTCCAAGCAATGGACCAGAAATCGTTATTGAAAATGCTAGTCCAGAAGATGCAGGAAAATACACTTGTATGGTAGGAAATTATATTGGAATAAAGTCAGTTGATGTCTGGTTAACAGTAAGACAGACCACCACAACAACCACTACTACCACCACAACAAAACCACCAACCACCACCACCACCACAACAACAACCACCACAACCACCACTCCAACAACAACCACCACCACCAGAAGACCAACAACTACCACAACAACAACGACACCACGACCAACAACTGTAAATACTCTGATACAATTCCCATACCTACCAGATACCACAGATGATGAGGACCTGGAGGGTAATGTGTTATTCACTTTGATAATGCTAAACCTTTTATGTTCTTTTTCTGGAGATTAAATATCAAAGAAAGTATTCAATAAATATTTTTCAAACTTTCAGAAATACATGTCATTTGAACACGTGTACCTGATATTTTCAGATTAATTTGCCAAAATTAAAAAAAAAGTATTTCTTTTATGGTTTTACCCTTCCTTGAAATTATCAAACTCTTCTGCAATATAAGCCCATATACATTTCATGTCTGATCTACCTTTTTTCATTGTATACCATGATATACATGTACTTTTAGGTATATTATCTTTAAGAACACAAATATACCTGAGAAGGAAATTTCTGTGATCAGAAGATAATGTTTTGGCAAATAAAAAGGAATTTATAGTACTACAGTGTCTTTATTTTCAGTAGTTTCCAAGTTAGTTAAGCTTAGGTGACAGTGTTTAATGGTTTTTTTTTCTAATGTGTTCAGAAACCAGTGTCTGAGTAACTCTTAGTCATTTGCTTCTCACATACCAAATTATGGAGCATTAATGTTGTACATAATTTGAAAAGTGGGCAAGGTTACATAAATTGAATTTAATGAATCCGTCATTAAAAACAACTTCCATCAGTACTTTCAGTACTTTGATTTTTTTTTTTTGCTAACATGTTTGGAAACCAGTGTCTGAGTAGACATGTTTTATCTTTTCTACAAGGAGGAAGTGGAAATGATATGGAAAAGGAGAAGAAGAAGAAAAAAAAGAAGAAGAAGAACAAAAAGAAGAAGAAGAAAAACAAGAAGAAGAAAAAGAAGGAACGCCAGAGGGAGCGAGAACGAAAGCAGCAACAGCGGGAAAAAAAACGCAAGGAGGAGCTAGATCGCACGAACAAGGAGGACCGAATGGAAGATAACAGAGATATTGGCAACTTCCCAGATTTCAACAATCCTGACATCTATAACAACAACCAAGGTGAGGCTATTCTTTCTACTGCTCTGGGATCTATTATCTCCATAGTCAAATGAGAATCAATGAGTGGCCATTGAAATATGGCTGTAAGCTAGGTTTTATCTATGAAAGCCAGATTACTTGGATTTCAAGAATTTCAAGAGTGCCCCAAGGAGAAGTTAAAGAAGTTCGATTCAAATCATGCTGTTCTGACTGTTAAATACCATCCCTTTCAAACAGTACTTTCACCAATTTTGTTCATAAAATATTATTTTATAATGGAAAGATGACTATATGCACAAATCTTAACTGCATGTAGGGATTATTTTTTTTAAAAAATCATGTCAAAAAAAAGATGTAATACACTATTACAATTTGTATTTCTCATTTCCTTTTTGGTTTGAAACAAAAATGATTTTACTACAAGTATAATAATGCTTTATTTATCGGTAAATCTCTCTCCACAACAAATATTTACTTGAACTTTTCCCTCCTTTTTTTCAACTAGGTGTTATTGTGCCAGATTTCCGTTTCCCGTCCACAACTCCACCATCAGAGGAAGACAATATTTTCGTAAATTCTGGAAATCCTGACAACGACAGACTCCCCATTAATAGGGATACATTTCAGGATTTCCCAGCAGGGACACAACAGCATTCTGAGGAGGAAGAGGGAATGAGTGCATGGACGATTTACATTATTGTGGGTCTGGTGGCAGGTGGTGTCCTCCTTGTAGGGCTGGTGGCGATTGTGGTGGCACTCTGTTGTAATCGTATTGAGGACCGAAATGGGTACAAACACACATCAGTGTGAACAGACATTGAGCCCTCGTCCTCGTTTTATATGTTGCAATGCATTTTGAGGACAATGACAAAATTTTTAATTACATTTTAAATGGTTGCCATTTGCTACGTACAAGATAGCAATTGTGAAATGGTATATTCACACAGCTGAACAGTGATGACACTGAAATGAGAGGGCAGCATTAAATCTTGAAGTAAATACCATTTTGGTGACTACATCCTATGAAACTGCAATGAAAGTTTCTTTGTGAACACAAACATTAATAAGAAACTTTAAAAATGTTAATATAGTATGAACACTGCCACAACGAAACAGTTTTTCAACTGACATGTGTATGTGTAATTACATATATGTAACACATCATAAATGATAGTCATATTTAGTATTGATATGTGTTTATGAAAAGTTCATTGTTGATATTTTTGTCTTTTATTGTATATTTCACTTGGTGCATGTTATGTGTACATTCTGGTCAGTGTGCAATATGGTTTGATATTGTAAGTTTCTTGTCTCGAGACATTTCTGTATTAATTATGTTAGTACAATAGTAATTGTTTCTTTACATTTTATAGCATCCCTCAAAATGTATGGATGTTAATTCTTAATATTGTATATATATTTTCTGCCCTTGCTGGAAGGACAGTCACCTATCTACTTTATTTGAATTTTATTAACTAATGTTAAAAACTTCTTTTTTTTTTTTAATTCATAAGTCACTTATCGTACATTTACCAACAATCTGTGTATGTGTTTTATATATTTGACCAGTTACTTTAATGGTGCTGTTGTGTCATTTACATGCAGGTAAATGCTTTAAATTTGAGTATCTTTTTCATACTCCAGTGAGTGTATTTATTGTCCATTTTGAATTATCCTTCTCTCAGAATCACCCAATTAATGTAATTATTTAAACCTCTTGAAGAACAAATGATATCTTCATTAAGTAAAGAAACATACTTTAATTGTTTGAATATCAAAATCCTTTAGATTCATTTTGGATCCTAATACATGATGAAGTAAGATCTTTCAATTAAAAGAACTAGTCTATTGGGTTTTTTTCCCCACTGATTTTTTTACCAAGAATTTCATATAATGCATAGGAAAAATTTCTTTTCTTAAATTTCTCACAAAGTCAATGTATGATGTAACTATTTATTAAAAAAACGTATGATGTACCTGTATTCAAAAAGATGTCAAGGAAACTAAAATAATATCCTGTTAAGTCTTAAGTCCCATACAGTTCACAAAATCAGGAACCATTTATAATAAAAATCACATTAAGTTTGTCTCTTGAAATGTATTTATTTGATGCATGTCTCTTTTTGTAATTATTTTGTGAATATTCTGAATATTAGCCTCATTTTGACATAGTACATGTAAGTATACTCAATATATTGTAGATATACTCATCAGAGGTGATGAGATTTGATCCTTTAGAAGGATATCTTTTACATCTACGAGTACATTGTTTAAATTTGTAATCTTTACAGGGAAAAGTAGGCCAGACTAGGTATATTCTGCATGTGTATCACAAAACCATAAAGCAATCTCAGATTCCAACTTGCATTTTTACCATTCAACATGTTCAAGGTATTGAAAAGTTTACAATGGTTTATTAGGCATATTGTGTGCATATGCCATTTCTTAAAACTATCAGTAATGATAATTTCAAAATTGTTTGAACATTTTATACTACTTGTATTCTAGGGAGAAAAAAAAAATTATTCTCGTAGATGTGAATCAAAGAATTTACTTTCAATGGCTATAAGAAGAATAGTGTTTTATATACAAATTACATTTAAGTTAATAGGGTTTTTTAATTTTTAAGGGAAAATTACCTATTTTCACTAAAGGCAATTTTACTGTAATAATTGAATGTTTTAAACAAAATACAAATGCAATATATGCAAGTTTGGTATACCATGTGGGGCACAAAATTTGAGACAAATTATATTGAAGATGAAAACTTTAAAGGAAACATAATTTCTTTCCTTGTTTGAGTTCTCTCCCATAGCAGAGGGTCATTTGTCCGTAAGTATATCAACATGTAAAGGAAATATGTAAAAATGAAGAAAACGTACTGGTCAGATGTTGTTTGAGTAGTTCAGAAGTCCGGTGTTTCCTTATAATATTTTACAAACTATTGATATTAACATGCATATACTCATTTCAATAATCTGTATTGGGTCAAAAGAATTTATAGTATGGCATTGTTGTTCAGTATTCATGTTGAATATATTACACTGTAGTCAATGTATAGTTCAAAAATGAGATCATCAATTTAAGTCCTTTAAGTTTTGTTTGTAGTTTACATTTTTAGTCAATAAAGTATCCATTTATAAGTACCCTGAATAGTTGTTTTCTAATCTGTTTAGTTGTGGAAGGCTGGTAAATGCTGGATTATATGATATATTATATGATTATGTGATCCTAAGTTCGACAACAAAGGATCAAATAGTAGACTTAACCATGTAGAATTCTGACAAAAACATTATAGGACATCTGAGATAAACCTCTTCATGCCAATAAGCCTTTATTTTGAAATTTATACTAAAATTCTGTGTTTTTGGTTGAAGATGAAATTTAATACTTGGCAATTCATATTGTGCCTTTTTGAGAGCAACAAGCAAATAGATTGCTCAACTTGACAGCAATTTGACATCACAGCTTTTCCTTTGTCTTTATCAAATGTCTGACTCCAAGAATTTACAAGATCATAATTAAATTTGGGTAAAGGAGATTATTTCAAATAAAGGGCCAAGCCCCATTCCAACGGCCATTCCCAGGGGTAGGTGGGGCCACAATAGTGAATCAAAGTGTTATATTGATATACATAGGAAAAATCTTCTTCTCAAGAACCACTGGACCAGAAAAGCTGAAACTTATATGGAAGCATCCTGAGATAAGTAGATTCAAAATTGTTCAAATCATTTCCCCCGATGGTCGGGTGGAGCCACAATAGGGATTATACAGGGAAATACCCTTAAGCCCCGTCATGGATAAATCATACTAATTTTAAATGTAGAAGCATCCTTTGGTAGTGTTCATCCATTTTTAGGTCATCTGAATCACTCAGGTGACCTATTGCTATCTGTTTTCGTCTGTTGTCGTGCGTTGTGTGTTAACATTTGACCATTTTTAGCTTCTTCTCTGAAACAGCTTAACTAATTTGAACCAAATTTGACATATAGCATCTATGGGTGAAGGGGAACAAAAATTAAGAATTTCATGGCCCCTGCCCCCTTGGGGCCTGAGGGGTGGGGCTAAAACCTCAAAAATTAATGCAATCTTTAAAAATCTTCTTTACTCCTGGACATCAAGCAGTCAAACTGTTGGCATGAAAATCTTCTCTGCTCCTGGGTATTAAATAAACTAACTTACATGTAGTACATAGTTATGATGAGCAAGAGTGCCTCTTCCAAAATTGTGAATTTCATGGCCCCAGGGGTTCAGGTATTACATGTAGGGTGGGGCTATATTGATCATATAGTTAAAATGCATTAATTCTTTGAAAATCTTCTCTGCCCCTGGGTATTAAATAAAGTAACTAAGTACATAGTTATGTTGAGCAAGAGTGCCTCTTCTAAAATTATGAATTTCATGGCCCCAGGGTCAGGAGTTCAGGTGTTAGGGCAGGGCTCTATTTATTATATAGTGAAAATGCATTTTTGAAAATCTTCTTCTCTGCCCCTGGGTATTAAATAAAGTAACTAAGTACATAGTTATGATGAGCAAGAGTGCCTCTTCCAAAATTGTGAATTTCATGGCCCCTGGGTAAGGGGTTCAGGTGTTAGGGCGGGGCTCTATTGATTATATAGTAAAATTGCATTAATTCTTTGAAAACTTTCTTTTCTGCTCCTGGATATAAAAAATAAACTAACTTACTGCATAGTTCTGAAGAGCATTATTTCCTCTTCCATAATTGTGAATTTCATGACCCAAGGGTCAGGGGTTCTGGTGTCAGGGAGGGGCTCTATTGATATATATATATATATATATATATATATATATATATATATATATATATATATATATATATATATATATATATATATATATATATATATATATTGAAAATGCATTAATTCTTTGAAAATCTTCTTCTCTGCTCCAGGATATTAAATAAACTAAGTACATACTTATGATGAGCATGGCTGCCTCCTCAGAAATTATGAATTTCATGGCCCCTGGGTCAGGGGTTCTAGCATTAGGACAGGGCTCTATTGATAATATAGGGAAATTGCATAAATTCTTTCAAAATCTTCTTCTCTACTCCTGGGTATTTTTCAAACAAAGGAAGTGCATGGTTATGATAAGGAAGAATGCCTCTTCCATAATTGTGAAATTCATGGCCCCTGGGTCAGGGGTTCTGGTGAGAAAAGGGGGGGGTCTCTATTGATTATATAGTGAAAATGCATAACTTCTTTCAAAATATTTTTTCTACTACTAGTTATAAAGCAAAGAAACAAGTGTATAGTTATGATGAGCAAGGGTGCTTCTTCCAGAATTGTGAATTCACGGCCAATGGGTCAGATGTTCTGGTGTAAGGATGGGGCTTTATTTATTTAATAATATAGTGAAAATGCATTTCTTTGAAAATCTTCTATGCTTCTGGGCATTTTTGAGGCAAACAGAGTGAAAGTTTTAATATGCAAGGGTATTTTTACCAGAATTTTGAACACCTGGACCATTAACTTGTAATCTGCTGAGCAAAGTTATTCCCCTTTGCCATTCACCTTTGATAATTAATCAATGTAAATAATGTATTTGAAAGGTTAATAGAATTAGAGAATTATGCAAAAATATTTATTGTAGAATAGAAAAAGTACTTTCATAGTTTTAATGACTTGGAAATAATAAATGAATAAAAATGAAACAAAAATAACTTATCTTTTTAAATGTTCTTCAAAGGCCATAGAGGCCAGTGTGAGAAGTAATAATATGGGGTTGAAAAATAAACATTTTGTTAATAGTCTGCATGGTAAAAGTGATAAATGGGAGACAGATAGATACTAGACCAATTATTTTGTTGATGCTAATCATACTATTTTTCTTGCTTTTGGGCAACAAAGCTTCATTTATCAGTTTATGGATCCTCTAAATTGTTGTATTGTACTCAGGTGACCGTTAAGGCCCTTGAGCCTCTTGTTGTTCAAATCACGGCCCCTGTGTATAGGGTGGGACCATAAAAGGAATTAAAAAATACAGAAGAACACATGTATTTAGGGGAAAAAATCTGATGCAAAATAGCAGGGCCAAAGTGACTCAGGTATGCGTTGTGACCCATGGGCATCTTGTGAGGGCTTGGTTGAACATTTCTCAACTCTGCAATATAGCCTTGTTTCTATAAGGATTTTTATGAGGTTTTTGGAATCCATTATAGGTACGGTAAACCATACTCACTTCCAATGACTGGAATGTTAAACATATTTAAAACTGAAAAGGTGATTTCGAAGAATTTCATCTTTTGAAAGGGAATTCTGAGAATAGGTTGGATTACCAGATGTGGAATTAATGTATTACCGAATTCTTAAATGCAGATAATGAGCCTTACAAACAAAGACTATATTGATACAAGGAACCGAACGCTTAATCCATTCTGACAGAGTGTCAAGGTCTATCCCCTCATATATACCCATCGTCTAGCGTACTCCTCGACGGAATGCTTAATTGAAATGAAATTCTGTCGCCATTTTAAAGATCTAATCTCCATAAACTTATGATAGCTTTTAGGTCATCATTTTGAATTATACTTGCATCACCAGTAATGATGTTTCCAGCTGGACTATAGTTGAAAGAAGAGAAAGAACAAGAACATTTAGGAGAATTTTGTTTTAGATGATCAATATTTACACTCTGTAGAGTTTGTTCATAATTGAAAATTTTTGATGCAAAGGTTAGGTAATATTTGTAGGAAACACAGGTTGTAGACTTCAACTTAAAATATGGTGGAATATGCAATACTGAACTTTTTTTTATGAAAAAGTATGTTGCTTATGTTGTACATTGAAATATATAGGGAAAAAAAATTAAAACTCTTCTTGCCAAGAACCACTGGACCTGCAACTTAAATTGCTTCTTCCCGGGTAGTGTAGATTCTAAATTGTTGATATCATGGCCCCTGGGGTAGAGTGGGGGTACAATAGAGGATCAAAATTTTACATTGAAATGCATATATAGGAAAATATTTTTCAAAACTCTTCTCAAGAACCACTGCTTCGCGTAAATATAGATACAGGTCGGCTAATAAACAATAAGTGCCCCTCGGAATCATAGATTGTTAAAAAGACCCAGCCTCTAAAGATTACAAAGATAGTGTCAGATTGGAACTCTAGCATCTTCTTAATTTCAACTTCAGAGTACTTGTGTTGTAGAATCAGAGTGATTTTTGACAAAGTAATCATTTGGATGACCAGTCACAGAGTATGATAATCATTATTTTTGAGTTCCATTTTATTGAAGAAGCAGTTGTCTTTGACGGAATGAAGTAAAATTATCATGATCAAAAAAGCAGCGATTGCGAAAAGAATGTAATCATGTAATTAAAATAGTGTGAATATATTTTTAGCTCTTCTGAGCCAAAGGCTCAAAGAGCTAATGCTATGGCCATTTGTGCGGTGTGCGTAAACTTTTTAGAATATGGGCCATAACTCAAGAACCCCTTGGCCAATTATTGTCAAATTTGTCACAGGGTATCCTTGGCCCAAGGGCTCCCTTTTATACTAAAACTGGGGTTGTGACCCTTAAACAAGGGGAGATAATTAGGAAAATAGAAACAAAAGTACTGGTTGCTAAAAAATCTTCTTCTCAAGAACCACTGGGCAGATTATCACCAAACTTACACAAAAGGATGAGGATATGTTGTAGATTAAAATTTGCACGGGGATTTACCCTGGGGCAAAGGGCGTGGTCTCAAGGTCACTTCAAAGTTGACCAAAAATTACATTTTATTAAAATGTTGATATTTTGCTTACTATAAGGACTAGGATCATCAAATCTTGTCAGTTGGTGCATCTAAGGACCTCATATCATGTTGACTCAAAAGTAGGTCACGGTGACCTACTTTTCAAATTTTGCGGCCATTCTTTTTCATAATGATTTAGAGGCATATTTTGAACAATTTAAGGCCTATGATCATCAAACTTTGTCAGTTGATGCATCTTGGGTCGTCAAAGTACGTCACTTAAAAAGTAGGTCACCTTGACCTACTTTTTGAATTTTATGGCTAATCTTTTTTAAAACAATTAAGGTCATTAATTCGAATACGGGGAGGCTTAGAATCATTAAATCTTGTAAGAAGATGCCTCTGGGGCCATAAAACATATTTATTAAAAAGTAGGTCACAGTGACCTACTTTTTGAACTTTGCAGGCATTCGATTTCAAAGCGTTTTAGAGGCATAATTTGGACATTTTAAGTCCTATGATCATAAAACTTTGTAAGTTGATGCATCTTGGGTCCTCAAAAAAGGTCAACTGAAAAGTAGGTCACCGTGACCTACTTTTCAATTTATATGACTATAATTAAATATTTCAGGTACTAATTGGCTTAGAATCATCAAACTTTGTCAGTTGATGCATCTTGGGTCTTCGGAGTAGGTCGACTAAAAAGTAGGTCACAGTGACCTACTTTTGAAAATTTATGGCGTTAATTAAATATTTCGGGTACTAATTGGCTTAGAATCATCAAACTTTGTCAGTTGATGCATCTTGGGTCTTCAGAGTAGATCGACTAAAAAGTAGGTCACCGTGACCTACTTTTGAAAATTTATGGCTTTAATTAAATATTTCGGGTACTAATTGGCTTAGAATCATCAAACTTTGTCAGTTGATGCGTCATGGGTCTTCGGAGTAGGTCGACTAAAAAGTAGGTCACCGTGACCTACTTTTGAAAATTTATGGCTTTAATCAAATATTTCGGGTACTAATTGGCTTAGAATCATTAAACTTTGTCAGTTGATGCGTCTTGGGTCCTCGGAGTACAACAACTGAAAAGTAGGTCACCGTGACCTACTTTTGAAATTTTATGGCTGCATTTAATATTTTTCAGGAATTATTTGGCTTAGAATCGTCAAAATTTGTCAGTTGATGCATCTTTGGTCCTCGGAGTAGGTTGACTGAAAAGTAGGTCACTGTGACCTACTTTTGAAAATTTATGGCTGTAATTAAATATTTTGGGTACTTATTGGCTAGAATCATCAAACTTTGTCAGTCGATGTATCTTTGGTCCTTGGAGTACAGCAACTGAAAAGTAGGTCACGGTGACCTACTTTTGAAAATTTATGGCTTTAATTAAATATTACAGGTACTAATTGGCTTAGAATAATCAAACTTTGTCAGTTGATGCATCTTGGGTCCTTGGAGTAAAACAATTGAAAAGTAGGTCACTTTGACCTACTTATAAAATTTTATGATTATAATTTTAAAAAATATTTTAGGTATTAATTGGCTTAGAATCATCAAAGTTAGTTGATGGGTCCTCAGAGAATGACAAGTGATAAGTAGGTCACCATGACCAACTCTCAGGTACTAATTGGCTTAGAATCATCTTGGGTTCTCAGTGTGTGAATTGGAATTTCAAGGGTTTATGTAAATATACAGGATACTTCGAGGCTTCAAGTAGAAGTGATAGGTTGTACAGTTTATCAGAAGAGCGATTCAAGGCCCATGGGCCTCTTGTTATCATTTCAATAACAAATGGTCGTTTTTTAGATTAAGGAAATATTAATCTCATAGATCATGAAAATAGCTTTCAATTTAATGGCAAACACAAAAATGTCATATTTATGTTTCCTTTAAGTTTTTTTGAATGCTAATTATTCTAAACTAAGAATAATTTTTTCCCTAATATATGCCAAATCGTGCAATATTTAGCCACATGATCAATGAATCATATGACTCCTGAAATTTGAATAATCACTTGGATTTGAAGCTTTACAGAATATACAGTCTACGGCTCAAACAAAGATGTTCTTACTTCTAGTGCAATTTACCGAATTTAGCGCCATATTTTAAGAAAATTTCCAAGTTTGTCAGAATATTTAAATCTTATGAAATGCAGAGTGAGATTAACTTAAATTTGTATAATTGAAGAACTTTTATCAATGAACCCATGAGATGTTTCGACATTCAGACAAAGAGCTGATCCATTGTTTTATAATGCGATGAACCATCGTCTTTTTTTGTGAAAAAAAAAACAATAATCCACAAGATATTTCGGGAGGGGGGGGGGCGGCACCCAGGTATAACGACAGAAATATAGAGGTAAAAAGAAATCTAACTTTCAATTTTTCTACATCTGTTGGGAAGCAATTTAGGGAGGGGGTATCATATTCTGTGAAGTCTTATTAGTGTCCTGGACAACCTTGGACGATTAATAAATTGTAAGTCATAATGTCAGAAATCACAAGGTATTTTACCTTATGCAAAATCATATTCATAGAAACTCCCTACGTTTATGAAAAAGAGATCACTGTTACAATACACTTTGAAAAATTACACACTTTGAAAAAAATTTGTTCAAAGTTTTTCTAAATTTGGGACTATAAGTTAACGCACTATGAAAAAAAAATTCTTTTCAAAGTGCGTTAATATCGACCATATTAACCACTTTGAAAACAAATGTGCACAGCTTGGTCAATATTCTTGCAAATTTTAGATATGATAAATAATTATTTGAACCTGGTTGGATAACTTTTCGGTGATGACGTCATTTATGAGATATAGACGTTTTAAAGATTTTTAGGTTGTCTTGTTCCAAAAGGTTCTCGTAAATGTTATGAAAAGGAAACGGGTCTTTTAGAAATAATGGAGGAATAATTGTTTAATGGCACAATATAATAGTTTCTTCTTCTTTTTTTTTATTTTATTCAGTCTGTAATAAGTTCGGTAGATGTAGGGATTGATAAGTGATTTAAACCATCGCATTTTTCTTAGGAAAAAGGGAGCAATTATGATTTTTCCATACGATGAATATTCTATCTCTCTTCCTCTCTAATCTATCTATCTATCTATCAATCTACCATATTCATCTATCGTTTGTGAACATACATGAAACAATGGTTGACTCATTTATTTGATAGTGAGAAAAATAAACCTAATTAGCCACATTACTCACTCGACTGAAATTTTTACCTCGTTCACTAATAACTTTTTCTCAAAGAAATCTTATTAAAATATATTTGGATAGGAAAGATAAAGAGTTGGACTGAGGGATCTTCTACCTGTCTTCTCCTAGTTCTCGATGAGGGTAGATCAAATTCATCAGTTTTTCGAAAGAAATATAACAAAATAATACTGTCTCTAAAATCTAAGTCCAGAATTTTTGCTTTATATACATTTTTTTTTTCAAAGTGTTTCCATGCTAAAAAAAAATGTTGATGTACACTCTTAACGCACTTTGAAAAAAAATTTCAAAGTGAGTTGATTTTGTACAAAATTTAACGCACTTGGAAAAAAATTTCAAAGTGCGTTGCCACAGGTAACTCAGAGGGATTATTAGAGGTTTCAATACAGTTATCTCTGAATAGGGTCTGGAGTAACATAAGATTATACGATTGATTCAAATTAGACACATTTACGAAAAATCAGAATTACTTTTGCATATAGGGTAATGTGTCTTGTAGCATATGACATATAGTATTTTAAAAAGTAATATCTAAATATATCAAGACATTTTACCCTAGGCAAAAGTCAAAATGATTTTCCGTAGTTTTTCTAATACATGTATACACAAATGTTAGTCAGGACCCTTAAAGAGTTAGTTGCCCCCCCCCCCTTTCTTCTGAATGGTCTTCAAGAAATTTGAGAGTTAAATTTTCACCCCATCACCATTTTTTCTGTCTTTATATTAGTGTGTATATAGTGTAATCCCTCCTCTTGTCACAATTGTTTCTAGTTTTCTTTATTTATCAAAAAAATTTTAAGTTCAGTATTTTCTGACAGAGGAAAAGCTTCTACCTTCTCCTTTCCCCTACAAACAATTCTAGATCCGCCCCTTTTTTCATTGTTGTAATACTTATTTAACCAAGCATTCGTATTGAATATAAAACAAGTCAATATCATTTTTAAGCATGCAATGGCAGTAAAGAGTTGGCAGAGGCAATCAGAAGTTGGCAGTAAGCAGTTGGTAATGCAGTGAGCAGTAGGCAGTTAGCAGTTGGCTTTCGTATATGGAATTCAATACAAAGAGACAAACTTAGAAAAACTTGTCTAATAATGCATAAACTAATAAGATTATTAGTTTTTGTAATTAATTTTATCCACAGGAAAAGCTTTTGCAATAGTGCTAGAGGACTTTTTCGCGTGATATAAAGCTGAACACGACTCGTAAATAGGCACACGCCATTTCAATATTACTTTCTACGATATCAGCACCGGGGTATATTCTTCGCATTCGTTACACCTGACTGCTTTATTATCACGGGTATCGGCGTGGAATGGCAACCCGTGTTCGTGCTGTTTATCTTGCATTACCTTTCTTATACATTTTATTGCAGTAACGTGTATTTGTGTTTGTTTGTATACAGCACTGACCTGTGCAACTGTTGTAAGTTTCTTTGGTATCTTACTCTCCTGCATAAGACGAAGTACTCAGTTATTTTTTGTCGCTACCGAGTGCTGTATAGGCATACGTCCGTCTGCACCGGTGACGATTGATTACACTGAACAGTGACTAAGTGAGCGGCTTTATATATGGGTCCTCAGATATAGCGAGAGACCAAGCAAATATGGCGGACACATTCCTTTTACGAATCATGTTCAGCTTTAAAGATGCCTTACAGGTCTAGTCATTAGTCCTTGCTCAACGTTATAGCAGGAAATCATAAAAAAAAAACAAAAATTCTTTTTTAAGTAAAGTGCTCCTTAACATATTGTCCCCTGCCTAAAAGTCTCTGAGATCCTCAACTATCTTCCTTTTTGTGACAATGACGATGTATTCAATGCTATTTTTAATTGCATGATTTCAGATTGCAAAAGGAAAAACCGGAGAAAGTATATTGCATGGCACATTAAACTTGACTTATAATAAAGGAACCAAGGTCATTTTTTATTTGGGCATTTTGAACATAACGTAACAGAGGCTATCATCATATTTTACCGAATTGAATTCTTCATTTTTATCATAATGTTGCCTATTCAACATTTCGTGAGTTTGTTGCTGGTGTGTAGCATTTCTCCTGTTTTGCTGGTGGATGGTCAAAAGAAACTCATTGGTAAGTAATGAGTAATTGGTAAGACACTTATGGAACTAAAAATTTTAGATCAGATCACAATGTATTCATATTTGAATATCTATGGCAGTGTATTTGGAAATTTATTTAAGAGATGAATTTAATTTTTGAGAATTCATGAGGACATGAACTACGACGCTTCACGCCGGCATATTTCATGAAGCGCGTTAGCGCCTCATGATAAATATGCAGACGTGAAGCGTTGTAGTCCATGTACCTCATGAATTCTCAAAAATTAAATTCATATCTTATATTTAAATTATTTTTCTGATGACTTGCCAAATATTTTTTGTCATTCAACGATCATTTTTGAAAAAAAAAGTTTGCATTATTTTTTTACTTTAGTCACATCACAATGGAAATATTCTTACTCATCCTACGGTAGTTCATGAGAATGAACTTTCTCTAATTTGCAAAGAATCTGAAGGAAAAATATTTGGAAATGTAAATATTTTATAATCAACTGCACGATTATATAGATAACCCGAGAGACACAAATTATTCATACACACACACCCTCACACACTTTAATGGAATCACAAAAGTAATGTTTATTCATTTTACAGCTCCAAGATGGATACCCAAGTCCAGACCCTTCAAGGGAGAGAACAACGTTGCCCAGTTAACAGGAAGTGACATCAATCTTACTTGTCCAGCATCAGGAAATCCTACACCAAAAACAACGTGGTACAAAAACGGGGATTGGTTTAATGCTAGTCAACGATTAAATGTGAGTTAGCTTTAGCTTTCCTCCTTTCTAAGGGGAAATTCTTCAAAATCATCTGCCAGTTTTGAATATTTTTAATATTCCCAACATCCACATTGAATTTGAATTACCATATTTATATTGGATTCCGAAACTTCATAAAAATCTTTACAAACAAAGATACATAGCGGGTTCCAGTAAATGTTCTACCAAGCCTCTTTCTTTACTCCTCACTAAAATATTAACAGCAGTGAAGGAGAAACGTCAGGAGTACTGTGCAAAAATATATTCAAAGGTGGTGTAAATCAGATGTTGATATTTAAAAATTCCAAGGAACTTTGGGAAAATTTTTTACCAAAATCAATAACATAAAAACTTACTTTTCAACTCTGTATACAGCCATTCCCCACAATAAATTAAAGTCCAGGCTTTTTGACATAAAAATGGAAGTCGTAAATTTACTTACATTGTCATTGGTCATTTGCAAAATTATTTTGTTAAAAAAATTCTGTGTGTAAATAATGGCTTAACAATTAATATGGGAAACGTCAGTCAGCATTTGACTTAATGATACATTGTGTTTGCTGACAAGGTCATTGTATCGACCGTAGAGCTTACGAAATGATGACTTTAAACGAGACTGTTGATATTCTTGTTTCATCAACTTGTTTTATTTCAAGTTCACTGTGATATATCGTGTCGACAAATGAATGGAAATAACTATTGTCAATTGATAATACGTCGTCGATATATCTAAATGTCGAGTTGAAGGCCACAGCAAGAAATTTGTTTTTCTCACACATAAGATTCTGAATAAATTCTGCTTCATATGAATACAAAAATAGATCTGCTAATAGCGGGGCGCAATTGGTACCCATGGCAATTTCAATAGAATTTTGAAAGACCTGGTCTCCAAAAACCACATAGATATTATCAGTCAGAAACTCAAGCATCTTTTTAATATCAACTAAAGAGTACTTGTGTGTACAATCATAATGTATTTTAACAAAATAATAAACGATCTGCGTTCTTTAAAAGACTCTATAGCTAATTTGGAAACTTAGGAGATCGTTGAGTAAATCTTACAACTCTCTTTGGGCGTTCCTTGAGAGACAATTTACTATTGGGATTGTTGAGCTAGAATAAAAATTTTGATGAGACCATGGAGAATTTGCATCCCTCTAGGAGATTACTTAGAGATCATGGCAATGACTTAGCGACCTATGAAATATATTTGAGACAAACTTCTGACAAATTTTGCAACGCTAAGAAATATCACAACGTTGGCCACATGTATTAAAGGAGGTTTTACAAGTTAAACACGATTCGTAAAAGGAATTTGTCCGCCATATTCTTTTATTCTGTCTTTAGATATCTGAGGCCCCTATATATAAGCCGTTCACTTAGTCACGATTCAATGTATTCAGTTTTCACCTGTGTAGACGGATGAATTGAAAAACACTCCGAAAAGCGAAAAAAGTAACTGTGTGCATCTTCCGTAGCAGCAGAGAAAGTTACCAGGAGAAACTTACAACACTTGCAGTGTCAGTGCAATACACAAAAAAAAAAAAAAAAAAAACCCACAAATACACGTAAACTGCAATAAAATGTAAACAAAGGTTCACATATCACAATTATTCAATTCAATTGTCCACGGTTAATTGTTCAACGAATTCTTTTTTTAGACAGAAACCAGACGATTCTCATTGCTGCTAAATGATACACAGACATCAGACACGGGAGAATATAGCTGTGTGGTCCATAATTCAGAGGGTAGTCTCAATTTCACATATACTGTCAATATCATTCGTAAGTTTGTTTTCTTGCTGTTTTCACAAGAAATTTGTCAGAAAGAGTAAAAATAATATCGTGTGTGTGTGAGGGCGTGTTTGTGGAACAATGATAGTAAAAATACCTGTAGAAGAGATTTAATAAAAGTAACGTTATTGGGACAATGTAAATCAATATGCGATTAATATATCTGAAAAAAAGTATAACTTAACTTCTTGTTGCACTAATTGGTTAGTAATAACATGACCAAGACGAAAATATTAATCCTTCCTATGGTTTGACGATACTAACGTCATCACTTTTTGCATTTTATCTCCAATCATATAACTATTTCAAATTACGTGCAATTTATGGATTTTCCCAAAATCATATGTGATCCCTTAATTTAATTCAACTAATATATGGACACCGCGGCAAAATTCAAAAGTTTACGGGAATTTAACATTGCAAAAATGGCCTCTACTTCGGTAAGGGATCCATTATTATTAGTGATTTTCATAGGGTAATGACGAAACAAATTTTGATGTTTGTACAATTCCCTCAACAGCAACAACTTCTTCGTGTCCTAAAAAAACAATGGCTAAAATAAAAAATGTTAATTTGTAAGGTAAAAAAAAATCAAACGTATGTGTTTCGAGTTGTATTTATTAAATCTGACGAAAAATTGTTTAAAAAATTATAATTCGAATGTGTAATGAGGTCATGTGGGACAGACTATACGTAAAATATTTGAACAAAAGTATATCTAAACTTCCAGCGGCAGTAACATTTGATATTACATAAAGGAAGACCTTGGCCACTAGAGGTAGAGGAGCCTCAGAATGTCACAGTGATGGAGGGAGAGAGGGTAGTGTTCCGATGCCGCGTCTTGAATGACCCAGATGCCACCACTCAGTGGATAAAGCGGGACACTGAAGTTGGTGATACAGGTGGATACAATAAAGATGTATGCGTGCACTTAAACATCCCAAGCTCCACTTGCAACATAGTAAGTGAATATAGTTATAATTATATACAAAATTATTACAAACGTAAAAATGTGAAGGTGTTACAAATTGCAAATACATATAGTTACTGACATTTGATCTCTTTAACCAGATTTAAAAGGCACATTTAGAGAAGTAAGAGGCATCCATAAGTCTGAATGCATCAATATTCTTTTTAAGAACAAAGCTTATTTTTGAGTGCATGATCAATTATGAAAATCATCTTCTTACTTTTGTAAGTCGAAATCGGAACGTATCTTTCATCAATGACAAATTCTTATTGTAGATATCTTGTAGATGTTTCATTTTCCCTGGTGTCCTTAGTAGTAATGAATTTAAATATACTTGTCAATATTTGCTCTTAGAAACTTCTACGCAAGGGGCCAGAAATTGTTATTGAGAGTGCTAGCCCAAAAGATACTGGAAAATACACATGCATGGCAAAAAATTATATCGGCATAAAGTTGGTTGATGTATGGCTGACTGTAAGACAAACTACAACAACAACAACGACTACCATTACAACAAACCAACTGAACAACACCACCACCACCACAACAACCGCAACCACCACCTATCCGACAATCATTACCACCAAAAGACATAAAACTACCATCACAGTAAAACAAAACAGAACCACTCCAACAGCCACTACCACAACTACGATTACAACCACCAGATCACCCACAATCTCTCAAAAAACAACCTCCAGAATCAAATCTCCAATAACAACCACTAACAACAGAAGACCAATAACAAGAAAACCATCATTAAACACTCTAGTGACTACAACTAATACTTCCCCAAGGATGACGATCGCTAATAAACTACGAAGTACCATCACAACAAAACCACACACCACCGCCATCAATACAAATACAACCACAAATCCGCCAACCATCACCACCACTTCAATGACCACCACCATTACCAGAAATATTACAAACACCACAGTGAAACCTAACACCAGCTCCACAATAACAACCACCACAACAGAAGCAACCACAACCAACTCTACTCCAACCACCATCACTACAATGAAGCCACGACCAATAACCAAAAGTCCTATGATACATTTCCCAGATACCACAGACGACGAGCATCTTGAGAGTAATCTTATTTTGACTTTCTTAGCATAGGCACAATTTGATCATGAATACTAACAAAAACAATAAGCAATTGCGTCAATTATTTTATACTGTACACGTATTTTTCTCCACGGGATCATAATTCCGCGGAATCATAATTTTATTTCAATCCGTATGAAGAAAATTATGCGGAACTTCTTGAATTGCCTTTGTATGTCTGAAATGCACATTGTGTCAAATTTCCGAGGAAAACTTGTGACCGCGTACAATAGCGTGAATTAATACCACGCGGAAAAAAAAGTACGTCAACAGTATTTAAAAGCATAGTAAACTCAAAGAAACATCTATTATCCATATTTTTTACAACTTGTTTACCGAAATATAAGAACAAACAATATTATACAATTAATGCTGTTTTAGATTAATATGATGATCACCTGAGGAGTACAATATTCACCGAACCCGAGGGTGATGACACGATCATCCTATTGACTGAAAAAAAAAATATTGTTTCTTTAACTTAATTTAATGATACATGATTCAAATAATACAAACTCTTTAAGCGAACCATGGTATTCTTTCTTGATTGTTTACAATTGTTGAAGTCCTAGCCTAACACAGTGAGAAGGGAGGGTTAAAATAAACATAACCAGTTGTATCAATTTGGAATTTTCTTGAAGAAAAAAAAATAAAATAATTGTCAGACACGTAGCATCCATTTCGAAAGGGGGAGGGGGACAGGAAGGAGAATAATTGACAATTTACCTAAAAAAGAATTACATGTATCAAGCTTAAAAAAGAGAATTATCCTAACTCCAAAATCTTACTTCGTGTGTGTGAGTGTGTGTGGGGGTGGGGATGGGGTAACTGTCCATCAACAATGGGGGAATTATAATATAAAAGAGGTAGGATGGGGAGGAGAGAAACCAGACTTACAATAAACAGGATTATACTAAATTAATAAAGTTTATATTTCCTTTCATAAAAGAGTAGGAAGGGGCACACCCTTCCACCCCAACCCCACCCTTTAACACACACATATCATGTGCCTATATGTTATTCAACTGGGTGGAGGTCGGATGCGGGTGAACGTATCGTATCAAAATAGAAGTTTTCATTCTTTTTTGAGTCCAGTGTAAAAAAAAATAAATTCCTATGCTTACCTGGTAGGTCACGTGCCTATGAACATATCGTAATATTTTTCTACAATTTTAGATGTCAGGCATTTAGAGAGCTAGGATTTATTCAATCATGAAATAATCTTATTTATCCCCCTTTTTCTTTATTGACCTAAAGGAACCCATCATTTTAGGATTAATGTTAAAAGATCATTATAGTTGTTAATATCAAGGATTAGTGTTCAAAATTAATATCTGTTTTAATTCAAATTTCTCAGTCATATTGACTTCAAACTTTACAGAATTTAACATACAACTTCCACCGACCAGTAAAAAATCATCACAGCTTGATGAGGCAGAAGAGGAAACAATTTCAAATACTGTTTACATAATCGTGGGTGTGGCCGTAGGGATCGTGCTCTTGATGGTTTTTGTGTTGTATTATTGCAATCGGAGAAAGATGTCATATAATACAAATACACCCCAATGTGAGAAATGCACCTTAGGAAATGAGACTTGAGTAAGCTCAGGAATGAAAAAAAATAGCTGGTATATCTGTATAAATCGGCAACTCCGACAAGTGACCTCAGCATGTTATTTAATAAAACCTGAATGGCACTGTCTTCAAACAAAGGGAGTTCAGTGACTTTTATTTATATTTTTGTCTTTTTTTAAAGTTTCTTATGTCTTATTAAAAAGAAAAATGAATAGAATAAATTTCACTATCGTGATGTATGTTTTTCTTGATTATTGAAATTACTTGTATAATTTTCTATTTCTTTTTTATATTACTGCTGAAGTTGAAAATTTTATGAAGTTCAAAAATAATTATTTAATTTATAATTTTCAGAGTTATTCCTGTCTTCAAAATCAGGCGTGTGATGTGGGTTATTATGAAAATTATAAAAGAATATGCTGTCAGTAAAAAATTCAATGCGCATCAATGATTAATTTGGTTATGTAAATAAAATCAGTTGTTTGTGTTTTATTCTTGGTGCATGTCAGTAAAGAATTTATTATCCCTTATTAACCTTCCGTATTTTCTTTTCTGAGAGGTGTTGTCGTGTGAAGGACAATCCCTCCCGACCAGTGCATTTTTTTAACTTTTATTTTATGTAATTCACGCCTGTTTTTTTTTTTTTTTTTTTTTTATTTAATCTTAAGTCTATAAAACTGCACTATCACGCCTTTGTAAATGTTTGACGGAAAAGTTGGTGTGAGTGGGCTAGAAGATCTAGGGACTTTGGAAATGAAGTGTTTCTTGACATTTGGTCAAGTTTTATTAAAAGTTGACTTTGACAAAGCTTCCTTTTTGTGTCAATTATCTTTGGCCCAAGACTGTTTTCAATTTTCCTGATTTCAAATTACAATTGGAGAGCAAGAGAAAGAAGGACGCAACTTTTTGTAGATTTTTAAAATCTTAGTAAACGCAGAATCCAAACGAAGCAAATTTGCATTACGAAGAAGGGAAAGCATTCTTTTCATATATCGTGAGCATAACATTTGATATCATGACGCCTTTCGAACGTTTGGTTATATTTTTACTGGTGGGCAATGTTTGTCTTGTATCAGCAGTGGATGGTCAAAACAAAAACAAGCGTAAGTATTCTAAAATATTTTAGATGGGAAATAAAATGCAGAATGACTTCTGACTACAGTTTTTGTTTCAACATTGATTGAAATAGTTAAATTGTATTTTTGTATGATTCAACTTATCGTTTTTTTTGTAATTTGGATTTATTTGCATTATATGCATGATGAATATAGCTTTGAGATTGATCTTGGTATATATCTGCCAGTACTTTGTCAACAATAACTTCCAGTAAAATTTGGGCAATTTAAGCAAACAGTCATGTGCTCAAAAAGTTTTGAGTGATATAATGCTAAAATTTATTTACATTAAAGTTTGTACAAGTGGTCGTACATGTATCAAAGTCAATCTAGGCTTTTAAGTACGACTAAATTTGTTTATGTTGTTAATTATACTTAGGCCTTACTTCACAAATTGAAGTTAGCTGTGAATTAAGATCTTACGTAAATATCTTTGCTAATGTCTCCGAGTTATCCATTTCTAGTCAAGAATCCTCCTAGATAGTATTCAAACCAATTTAGTCACTCCTCCCTGTTTCAGACAATGCAGTACTTCTAGTACAGAGTAATGACTAATGGAACTACCTTACAAGTCAAATCTCAAATAATTTACAGGCCTATCCAGCAGTTCACATTGAAATGTCTCTCTAAAAATTATCATTACATGAAAATGATGAAGAAACGAACAGTGGTCGATTTAAAAAAATCTACAAACAATTCATATTTGTGAACAGGGCATAAAATACAGACCCTAGAAATCCCAGAGGTGGATCAGGTGCCCAGAAGGAGCAAGTATCCCCCGTCGACCAGTCACACCCGCCGTGAGCTCTATGAGCAGGTAGATTAAACGTTCCGTAGTCAAACAATTGGTACGAAATACGTCAGCCAAAAAACGACCCAATGATAGGTTATATTTGCTAACAAAGTCATTATAAAGTCCAAAGAATGAACGAAATACCGACTTTAAACAATGTTGTTGAAATCCTTGTAACATCAACTTATCTGTCAGTTGCCTACCTCGGTTTAAAGGTTGACAGTACTCATTCACTCGAGTATCGAATAAGATGGGAGACGTAAACCCCCATATGCAGGTGATGCCAGAATCTTACTCTATAAATAAAGAAAGTTGATGATGGAAAAATTGAAGTCATCATATTTGTCATATAAATTATCATATGAAGACAATAAAAAGTGAACACCAACCTCTTTAAAACAATCAAATTTAATTTACTTGAATTTTTTTTTAATTCTAGTTTAATATAAATTTAAATGAGTATTTTTATTCAAAGTTCAGTCATTGAAAATACAGTACGTCTGAAATTTAATAATATTATGTTCTTGCTATTAATATACTGTAGAAGAACGTTTTTCCGCGTGGTATGAATTTACGCTATATGTACGCGTTCATAAATTCTCCGAAGAAATTTGTCCCAGCGTACTTAAAGGACATCTAAGGTACATAATAGCAATGTAAGAAATCCGCATAATTTTCTACCCGTGGATTGAACAGAAATTATGTTTTCGCGGAATGATGAATCCGTAAAAAAAAAAACGATTACAGTATTCTTAAAGCTCCAACATGAAAGAAGCCACAGCCATGGACACTCAATTAGGGTATCAGTATTACCAAGTTTTCGGGAAGTGACGTCCAGCTTAACTGTTCAATATACGTGTATCCCAAGCCAAAAACAACGTGGTTCAAAGACGGAGATGTGTTTTATGAAAAAAATTACGACTTAAGGTATATAAGTTTTTATATTGGAAATTTTATTTTGAAATATGAAGATAAAATCCTATTTATTGCATTTATATTGTATATGATTGTCATTACGATCAAAATCACTGAACATGTTATTTTTGGGAAAATGAATTTTAAGATTAGTCTTTTTTTGGACAGGTATTATTGTTATAAGTATGATTGAATTCCTCAACATCAGTAATCAGCAATCTTAAAAAAAATATTGTTTATTATAAATAATCTACAGAAATATATTGCAATAAACGTGATATAGAAAAATATAACCGTTATTCCACATAAGAAGGAAAATGAAAATTTTCCTCTTTTTGTTTTGAATCTTTTTCTAACAATCTCTAATTCAATCCATATTATACACCTTAATTAACATGTATCATGCACTGAAAAGTTCATTTTAGAGAGAAAGGAATGAAAAAGAAGAAGATAACGAAAAATATCAATCTCAAAACATCTACAAACAATACGTATCTGCGAACAGGGCATAAAACATGGACGACTGGGAGTTAGAGAGATGAGTAGGTGTCAAGGAGGAGTAAGCATCCCCTGTTGACCGGTCACACTGGCAGTAAGTCCTATGTATTGATCAGGTAGACTGAACGTTCCGTAGGCAAATTGTATATAAAAAGAAAGACCTAACAATTGGTATGAAACACGTCAAGCAAAATACGACCCAATGATAGGTTATATTTGTTAACAAGGTCATCATAACGACCATATAATTTCCGAAACGATGACTTTAAACAAGGTTGTTGAAATCCTGTAACATCAACTTATCTGCCAATAGCCTGCCTTGGTTTAAAAAATGATCGTACTCCGAGCATGCTCTTGAGTATCTAATAAGTTGGGAGACCTTAACACCAAATGCAGGTGATAGCGGAATATAGCTACATAAATAAGGAAAGATGGAAAAACTGAAGTCATCTCGTTTGTCATATAATTTAGTTGTTAGTTGGTCCTTATCTTCTACAGTGAGTAAGATTTCAAAATATGAAACAGATGTGGCAGACTCTGTGGTGTCTTTAATTTCAAGTTCACAGGATATATCGAATTGACATATGAATGGAAGTAACTATTGTTAATTGATAAAACGTCGCCGATATATCTGAATGCCGAGTTTAAGGCCACAGGAAGTGTATTCCTCTTCTCATGTAGAAATTTTTGAAAGAAATGATATATTAAATTCTGGGGTTTTAAAAATTAATAGTCAATACATTTTTGTAACATTTGAAGGGTAAACTTAAAGATTTATGAATTTATTTTTGCGATCTTTTTTGAGTTATTATTATTTTTTTTAAGTTTATGTCTTAACAAAAAAGTGAAACGTTTTAAAAATTTAATATGCGTAAATTAAATTTTAGGCAATAGCCAGAAATGGTTAAGACTCAAGATTCTCCAGAAATCAGACACCGGAAGCTATACTTATATTGTCCAAAATTCAGAAGACAGTCTACGACTACTTTACCTTCCTTTTGAATGTTGTAGGTAAGATTGCTAAAAAAATGAAAGAAAAAAAAAAAAAGATTCTAAAGCAGTATCAATTATTACAATTCAAAAGCAAATCACAATTTCTTATTATACCTTTTCAAGTTAACAGTTACAGCATAATATTAAGTTAAATATTAATTAAATGACGTAAATAATTGAATGTGTTAAACAAAGTATTTTTCTTGATATCAAATTCGCATTTCGAAAACATGTTAATTTTGGGGATGCATTAAAGGAGAGGTTATGATTATGGCCAAATTTGGCCCATTATTTGATGTAAAAATCAGAATACAGTTAAAATGCCAAAACAACCACCGGAACCTAAAATTCAACAACAACCACCATCACTAGAAGATCAATAACTATCCCACAACAAAACCATCACTAAGCACTATAGTGACAACTAATACTGCTAGACGGTGGACCTACGCTATAAAATACGAACTAGCATCACAACAAAACCACACATCACCTTCATCATTACAGGGACATCCACAAACCATCACCACCACTTCACTGACCACCACCACTACCAAAAATATAACAAACACCACAGTGAAACCTAACACCAGCATCACAATAACAACCACCACAACAGAAGCAACAACAAACAACACTACTCCAACCACCACCATTACAACGACGCCACGACCAATAACCAAAAGTCCTATGATGCATTTCCCAGATATCACAGACAACGAGGATCTTGAGAGTAATATAATTTTAATTTTTTAGCATTTAAGGTGCAATTTCATCATCAAGACTAACAAACACAATGAGCAATTGCAATCAGTATTTATTTTTAAAAGAACGAGAACAGGCAATACATGTAGGTCTCCCATGGTTTGTAGTTGAATATGATTTTTTCTCCAACTAGTTGTGTATTCTTATCCCCTTGCTAAGGCTCGGGGATAAAAACACACAACGAGTTGGATGAAAAAAACCTAGGATCTTACCACAAACCATAAGAGATTCTTTTTATCATGTGTTTTACACATAGCTATTACATGTTTTACACTGTTTTACTGTTGTAAATCCACAATATTTGACTTGATCAAATTCAGACAAAAACCATTGTGACTTCACACCCTTTGATATAAAAACGATATCCCATGAACTATATCCACCGTATAAAGGAGTAAACATGTGATAATATACAAAGATTGCTGTTTTTGAGGTCAATATATTGACTTAGTCACCTGAGAAGTACAATATTCACCGAGCCCTAAGGTTTGTATTTCGAGAATGGTTCAGTCATCATATTGACTTAATAAAAGCAATTATTTTTATTACATGATTTAATGATTAAATGATAAAAGCTCGCTAAGCGAACCATGGTATATTTTTTAAAATTATTTACATATGTTGAAGTCCTGGCTAAACAAAGTGAGAGAGCAGGGTTAAACTAAACATAACCAGTTGCATCAATTTGGAATTGTCTGGCAGAAAAAAAAAAATGGTCAGACACACATTGTATGTATTTTGAAAGGGGGACAGGAAGGAAAATAATTGACAATGTACCTATAAAGAAATCACTGCCAAGCATAGAAATGAGAACTCTTCACACTCCAAAGTCTTATTTCCTTGGGGGAGGATGTATTGTCCATGAACATTGGAGTAATTTGAATACAAAAAGGGTAGGGGGAAGGCAAGCATTCTTGCAATCTTGCAATGAAAGGTTTATGCTAAATTAATATAGTAAACATTTAATTAAATAATAAAATAAGGAGGAAGGGGGACACCCTTCTATCCTCGGCCCCAATCTTTAACACACATACCCATACCAAGTGCTGAATGTAACATTTATCTGAGTGGAAGTCGAATGCCGGTGAACGTATCGTATCAGTATAGAAGTTCTCATTCTACTTTGAGTCCAATGTAGAAAAAAATAAATCCCTATGTTAACCTGGAAGGTCGCGTGCCGATGAAATATCGTAGTATTTTTCTACGAAGTTGGATGTCAGCCATTCGGAGAGGTTTGAATTATTCAATCATATAATAATCTTATTTATCCCCCTTTTTCTTTATTGACATAAGGGAACACATCATTTTAAGATTAATGTTAAAGGCTCATTAGTTATTAATAGCAAGGCTTAGTGATCAATATTAATATTTATTTCAATTTTCTCAGTCATATTAACTTAAAAACAATCTTAACAGAATTTAACAAACAACGTCCACTGACCAGTAAAGAATCAACACAGCATGATGAGGCAGAAGAGGAAACAACTTCAAATACAATTTACATAATCGTTGGTGTGGCCGTGGGGGTCGTGCTCGTGATAATGTTTTTGGTATATTATTGCAATCGGAGAAAGATGTCATATAATACAAATACACCCCAGTATTAGAAAGTATGAATTACACTTCAGGAAATGAAACTTAAGTAAGCTCAGGGATGAGAAAATAAGCTGGTATATTTGTATAAAACGGAAACTCTGACAAATGACAATATGAACATCTTATTTAATAAAACCTGAATTGTATTTTTTTCCAAACTATGGGGGTTCAGTGACTCTTATGGATATTTTTGTCCTTTTCTCACCTTTCTTTATTATAGGAGAGAAATATGAATTGATTAAATTTTACTATCATTATGCATGCTTTCTTCGTTTATTGAAATTACATGTATCAATTTCTAACACTTATATATATTTGAATATCTTTTGATATTCAATTGGGTCATTATGATATCTTATAGTATTTAAGTTTTTCGAACTTTTGTCCAGTCCCAAAGCACATGTGCAATAAAATATATTCAAATCATAATATCTTATAATAATCCACAAAAATTTCCAAGTTTTGTTTTCTAACAAAGCTCAATATCTTAACAAGTGTGTACAGTGTATATTTTATTATGTAGCCAACCATATCTGTTAAATATTTGGTTTTTACATTATTGAGAGGGGACACCTCTTCTATCAAAATACGGAATTGTTCTTTAATCATGTCTTTTTAGTATTCCGAATCTGTGTTATATTTTAGTCTGTTGTTGAGAAAACAGTGCATAAATACTAAAGGACACATGCAAATTAAAGTTGTTTTTATCTTTTTCTCTAGTTCCTGAAAGTTAAAAACGTTTATGAGACTCTTATGATAACTTCTAGAACTCATTTTGAGGAAATATCAGCTACAACTACTAGTATATAATTAGTCTCTTTCTCATTGAAAATATATCTTTATGGAAAAGGATTTTCATCATTTGACATTTTTCAAAACCCCTGTTAATGTATTATGATTTTTTTGTCTTAGAACATCGGAATGTACTTTAATATTTAATTAACTCTATAATATCTTGCAAAATTATCGAAGATACTATACGTAAAGTATGTCCTTGATAAAAGAAGATTTGTAATGGTTTGCTCACGTGTTGATTTATATAACAAAATCTTTCGAACAGAAGATTTAGATAAATTCAAAATCAAGCACATTATATATGCCATATGGGGTTTAACTTTAGGTAAATTACTACTGAATTTGAAAATTTATAAAGACAAAAATTCATGCTTCAATTTATAATTTTCAGATGTATCTCTGTCTTTAAAAACAGTCTTGTGGAATGATTTATTACAGAAAGTATAAAAGAATATGTTTGAAACGCACTCTCAGTATCATATGCGATGCATATCAGTTTTTGATATGGTCATGTAAACAAACATTATTTGTTTGTGTTAAATTCTTTGTGTCGCCTGCGTGGCGCAGTGGTTCGAGCGTTCGTTTTACGTCGCTGGTTCGATACCACTGCGAAACGTGGAGACTGGTCCTTCGGATGAGACCGTATAAATCGAGGTCCCATGTCGCAGTAGGCGCTGGCACGAAAAGATCCCTCGCTGCTCAATGACCCTGAGTGCCGAGTATACGCCAAAATTTGCAGCTCTCCACCGGCAAGTGGTGGCGTCTCCATATGAGTGAAAATTTCTCGAGAGGGACGTTAATCAATAAACCAATAAAAAAAATTCTTGGTGCATGACAGCAAATTATCTTACACTGGGTACTTCTTATTAACCTTTCTAAATTTCTTTTCTGGGCAGTGCGGGAAGGACAATCCCCACGGAACAATGCTAACAGTGTTAACTTTTTACTTTATGAAATACACCTTTGCATTTTTTGTTTAATTTTTAGTCTTTAAATCTATGCACTATCACGCCTTTATAAATGTTACTCAAATTATATCAGAAAAGATTGTGAGAGACGGCTAGAAAATCTAGGGGCTTTGGAAATAAAGTGTTCCTTGACATTTGGTCAAGTTTTTTAAAAGTTGATTTTGACAATGCTTCCTTCTTGTTTCATTTAAACTTTGGCCCAAGATTGTTTTCCATTTTCTTATTGGAGAGCACGAGAGAGAAGGTTGTAACTGTTTTTAAAATCTTAAATAGTGCAAACGAAGCAAATTTGCATTATGAAAAAAGTCAACATTCTTTTCAGAAATCGTGAACGTAACATGTATTTTGTATCATGCAACCTTTTCAACGTTTGTGTATATTTTTACTGGTTGGCAGTAATTGTCTTGCATCATTAGTTGATGGTCAAATACAAAAGAAGCGTAAGTATTGTGAAATATTCTTTTATGTCTCTATGTTTCTTTTTAACTTAAGTCTTCTCATTCCATATTAAAATTCAACTGAAATGCTTGTGATTGAGTGTCATCTAGAAATGCATGCTTCTCGGCCACATTAGTCTAAAAAATGCATTGCGTTTGAGAAACTTTCTTGTACTCATCAGGAGCGATGAATTTTTTATTACCACATGTGCTTATTCCGAATTTTGCAGAAAACGTTTTGTAGATATTACATGTATTTAGCAGCATGCTATAACTCAAAAAGCGCAAGAGATATCTTAAACGAAATATAATTTCTACACGTCCATTGACCTTAGACAATCCTGATTCAAACCAAAATTAAAACAAATAAGGAAGACTGGACCATACCCAAAACATGGGAACAACCTATTAATAAAAAGATATATGAAAACCTCTCTAGAGAACGGTGTTCATTTCCAAAAAAAGTTTTAGGACACTTAGTTCATAACAATTCTAATTGCATTAGGATTGATATTTATGCAGAAAGGGAGCAACTAAGTACTAAATATGTACTATACAATGTACGAGTAAAGTATTAAGGAATAACTGTCTAATTTTTTGGATTCATGATCTGATCAATCGAGTGGCTTGCGTGATAATTTGCATAAACGCCAAAGGCGTTTATGCATAAAATTATCACGCAAGCCAATCAATTGATTATCGTCATGAATCCAAAAAATCTGACAGTTATTCCTTATATTTACATGCTCCTGATTCTGCAAATTCCCGTGCTAATAGCCCCGCTTCTGTCTCTATTTGTCCTGCCCCGCACGTGATTTTTTTTAAACCGCGCCTATCGATGAACCAGTAGGTTTATGTAGAAATAAAGTATTTTTACAATTTGTAATTTTATCTCGGACAAAGACATTGGAAATGTAAATATTCAAATTGAATAATGAATATAAGAAAAGCTATAATAGTAATAATGCAAAATTCACATATATATTTTTTTGTTTGCGTCTTTGTTTAGTAGTAATATATTTAATTCAAGAATATGCATTTAGTTCAATTAAATTTTTTGAAGCTATTAAGATACTTATTTCCTCAAGTTAAGCTTATATACAAACACTTTCATTATTTAGGCAAAATACAGCACTTAAACTTTATAATAAGCTAATAATAATGTTTGAAAAAAAAATACGCACATAAATTTACATAATTGTCTTTACGATGAACCAGAGAACTGTAATTACTGAATGTTTCATGGGCATCAAAAAGTCTTCAAGAAACATTATGTACTTCAAGTGATATTGCATGCTTTTTCTGCAGATTTTTTTTTCAGAGGAAGCTGAAAATAATTTAAGTATGAAATAAGGAAAACATTGAAGTTCCAGAGTGATTCATTATTACAGAAAAATGAAATGCATTCTATCTGTATATAGAATAGTGGAAGTCAGTTATTCAAAATTTTCATTACAGAATATTAACAAATAAAACATTAAATCGGTGAAAATGTACATAAAACCATTTTAGCAAACAGTCATGTGGTCAAAATGTTTTGGAGTGATATAATGCTACGCAGAATTTATTTCAAGGTTTGTACAAGTATAAGTGGTCTTATTAAAGTCAATCCAGACTTTTAAGTACGACTAAATTTGTTTATGTTTTTTATTGTTCATTAAAGCTAGCTATGAATTGAGATCTTACATAAATGTCTCTGCATATTGTCTCTGAGTTATCGATGTCTGGTCAAGATTTCCCTTAAATAGTATTCTACCCATCCCACTCTACTCAGTTTAAGACAGTGCAGTTCTTGGAGTACTATATGGTAACAACTAATGAAACTACCTTACAAGTCATATCTCAAATACTTTTTAAGCTTATCCACCAGTTTCCTTGAATTCAACCTCTTGTTAAAAAAAAAAACCAAAAACCAAAAAGAAAAGAAAAAAAAAGAAAACAAACAAACAAACAAACAAAACAAAAAACAAAACGAAACATCTAAACAAACAAACAAAACACGAAGGTAATTTAAGACTGAATATCAACTATTTCAAAAAAACAAACAAACAAACAAACAAACAAAAAACATCGACGATATTAAAATAAATCGGTATTTATCTTCAGAGTTTTGTCATTGAAAATAAAGTACGTGTGAAATCTAATCTAATAATCCTGCAATCAATATACTTTAAAAGCTCCAATATGGAAGACGCCACAGTCATGGCCACTCAATAAGGGTATCAGCATTACCAAGTTCTCAGGAAGTGACGTCCAGCATAACTGTTCAACATACGGGTATCCCAAACCCAAAACAACGTGGTTCAAAGACGGGGATGTGTTTCATGAAAAATTACGATATAAGGTATGTATTTTTTTATATTGGAAATCTAATTGTTGAAATATGAGGATAAAATAATATATCTTTCATTAATATTATATATTTTTGTTATTGTGATCAAAATCATTTAATGTGTTATTTTGAAAATATCAAGCCTTTTTGGATGAGTGTTATTGTTATTAGTTTGATTGAATTCCTTACCATCCGTATACAGCAATCATATAAAAATATTGTTTAATATAAATAATCTTTATAGAAATATATTGTAATAAATGAAATATATGGAGATAACGAACAGCATTTAAGCTCAAAAGTCCATTAAACAATACAAAATAGGATATGATATAGAGAAATATAACCGTTATTCCACATAATTAAGAAAATGAAATTTTTCCTCTGTTTTGAATTAGAGTGCATTGTATTTTCTTTGATCTAACAAACCACGAATTTAATCCATTAACATACACCTTAATTAACATGTATCATGCACTAAAAAAATCAATTTTAGAGAGATAAGAATGAAAAAGGTGAAGATAACGAACAGTGATCGATCTCAAAACATCTACAGATATAGTTAACTATAGTAAATACTTTGATTTACCATAAAACTTCATATACTCTTGAATTAGGATTTAGAGACAAAATAATTCTTAAATTGCATATCAACGATGTATTTTTTTGAAAAAAATGTAAATATACAAGTAATTATTCCTTGTACTATAAGAAAATTGAATATACGGTAGGGAGTTTTGAAAATGAAATACAAAAGAAACTTTGATTCACTTTAGTTGAAACTTTGATTTAAAACTTTGATATTATAGTAAACTATAGTTAACTGTAGTATTTTTTTTTTATTAGAGAAGGACCAATTTCCACTAAACAACAATAGTATGAAATATATGGAGATAACGAACAGTATTCAAGCTCAAAAGTCCATTAAACAATACAAAATAGGAGCAGAGCAAACACGGACCTCTAAACATCAGAGGTGGGATCAGGTGCCATGGAGGAGTGAGCATCCCCTGCCGACCGGTCACACCCACCGTGTGCTCCTTGTCATGATCGGGAAATAACGGAAAAATCCGTCGACAATTCAGTGTGTAAATAATGGCCTAACAATTAGTATGAAAAACGTCAGTCAGCATTTGACTCAATGATAAATTGTATTTGCTGACAAGGTCATTGTATCGACCATAGAACTTACGAAATGATGACTTTAAACGAGACAGCTGATGTTCTTGTTTCATCAACTTGTTCGTCAATAATTTACCTCGTTTTAGAAATTGTTCA